TCCTCAAAAATGTCTGTTGTAGATTTTCTGATAGTCAAAATAACAGAAAAAGAGAAACAGTTGGCAAATAAAAGCCTACATTTTCCAAGACATCCCTTGTCTCGTGATGGAGATTTTAAGTCCTACAAGAACCCAGAGTTCCTTTAGTCCAATTTACATCCAGGTCCCAACTCTCTATAAATTTCCTTAATGCAACTTCTTCCCCTGTGGAGTCCTGTGCATTGTTAGAAAGAAACTGGGAAGGAAATAAGAGGTTTGCTTCTAGGTAGAAGTTTTTCTGACCTTGAAGGAAGGAATGATGTAGGTTTTCCATGCCCCTGTTTCTATGCAAAACTGCTCTTAATCCATCCTGCTGATTTTATTGATTCTGAAATTGCTAGCACTGGGTTTTGCTAGAGCTGAGAAACAAGAGAAGAAAAAGTTTCTTGACTTGTTGTGGGTTTTTCTTTTTTTCTGTAGGGGCTTGTTATGGTTTTCTATGGCTTGAGGAGCTAAACCTCACACTTGTGATCATTTCAGATGGATTGTCCCTATCAACTCTTCCAGGACTAGTCCTTATGAGAGACAGTAAATATTACCCCTTTTTTCTTTCCTTTTTTGCTTCCAAACAGAAAGCAGAGGCCAGGTGAAGCTTCTGTCCAGGTGGATAACTAGGTTTCTTGTTATCATCTAACAGCAAATCTTTCCTGCTTTTATTTTTCCCTATAACTGTGAGAAAAAAGTGGATGTTCAGGAATGGACAGACCCGACTGAAACATGTTTGGGGCTGATGGAGGCGGGCTGGCTGTGCAAACAGATCTTTAGGGATTTATGATGATCAGTTTTTCAAGCATTAGGAAAGCCTGAGAGCACATTATTTTTAAATGAGTTATATATTTAGCACTATGCCCACCATTCTTTCAGTTCTAATTTTAGAGGGCAGGGGACAACTCTGGCACTATTGTAGCCTTGTCTAAATTTAATATAGTTGAGCAGCTGATGATTATCAGAGAGATTGGCTTTTTGCTCCTTCAGGAATTTTTCACTCAGGAAAAAAAATCACTGTGTGGTACTCTGCTCAGGGTATTGTACAAGTTGTTGTAGTACTTGAGAAGGAAGTGTGCTCTGAAATAGTCTTTTAAGCCTTATCTCTTGCTCCAGGTAGGGATTTTAGATACAGGAGAGGGGGATGAGGTTGGTTTGGTCAAGGTTTTCCTTTCCCTTTTGTAGGAAGAGCAGTACCTCATGCTGTCATGTACCACTAGACCAGACCTTTCTCAAATCCTTATGAGTACAGACACAACTGGGGACAGAACAGAGCTCAGGAACTTTCAGGCCACCAGCTGTCCTGTGGGAGGGGTGAGGAGGGATGTTCCCAACTTCTTGCCCACTGCCAAAATTCAGGTGGCCCATCCAGAGCCATGGGTTGAAGACTAGAAGAGGAACTTTTGTAATCCCTCAGCTCAGTCTCCTATAAATCCCCCAGTCCCAGTCAAATGTGGCTTTTAACTCTTCCATGCAGTGCATGCCAGCCCAGAGCTCGTGCTGTCCTTCTTGCTGTGGCCTTAGTGAGCAGCATCACCTCAAGCTCTGCCTCTGAATTTGACAAACCATGATCTGCCAGTCATGGTTTATGGAAACAGGGAGGGCGTTTAAGTGTTTGTAGGTGATTAAAGGCAACATTCAGAAACACTTCAGTATTAGAGGCAAGCTCAATCTGCATAACTCTACACAGTGTCAAAGACTCATTCGAGACAAAGGATGTTTAAGGAAAATATCTGTAAAAAGAGGTTTTGCAACTTCCGATAAATATTAGGCTTTCTGCCTTCCTTCTGAAATATATTAACAGCCTCAAGAGGGATTATTGATGCTGGCAAGTTTAAACAGCCCTCAGTAGTCCCTGACACTGTGTACAGCATTAGAATTTTGCATATGGTTCCCCCTCATGCACTGAAGTGTTTTGAGGCTGGGGTGAGCGCAGGTCTCTGAGAGAGCAAGATTGATAAAGCAAAGCAATCGGAGTTATTTCCTATGCATGAAATTGATTAAATGCTTCACTAAATGGCTTATAAATTTGGCTCTCATATTTCTGTCACCCACTGCAAAGATTACAGAAATTCCGTCTATAACCATGTTGTATACAATACCAAATTACAAAAGGTTGTAAAAACTAATGTTTTGTTTAAAGTTTTGAGCAGGACCATATGCCTTTGGTGACCTTGAGTAAGCTATTTTAATTCAAAACATTTTAAAGAGTAGAGGAGAAGGAAAAAAATCCATCTGCATAACAAAACTGAACTAACAGAATTTAGTACTTAGGATGCTGCACATCATTTTTCACTTCTTTCCAGAAAAAATATTGAATCCCCTTCTACCACAGTATTCTAATTTTATAGCTACTAAATGTACATGGTATGAAATCTAGAAGCTCAGGTTTCCCCAGATTGAATTTGCTTTTCTTATTTTATGAATTCTGTCATCAAATCTACCTGGGAACTTGCATGGTCCCCTCTACTCTTGAACCCATGTGCATCAGGCACTGGTGTTTTCTTGACCTCATCAACCCTTTAAAGTGAAGCTTTATTGATTTTTGCCTTGGCATAGTGTTTCATTACCTCCCAAAATAGGGTAAAAGACTGAGCCACAGAGACCATGAGGATCTTTAGATGCCAAAAACAGGTGTGAGTGTAGTTTGCACCCAGATCTGCTTGTTTTCCTTTCACGTGAGACAGCCACAGGACTTCCTAGAGTTTGTGCAATGCTGTGTGAGCATTGTCAGCTGCTGAGATCCACTGGTACAACATTAATTTCCTAACTGTGCTCAGCCATGTGCAGTGCTCTGCACACATTTGACAACAGCTGCTGCTCACACCCAGTTGTGCTCTCAGTCCACAGCAGAACAAACTTCGGGCGAATCTGAGTCTTCTGTTATTTTAAAATCTTGTGTTGGATTATGCCTTGGCTGCCCTTGTGTAAGCACCTGACCTGGAAACTTAAGCCCTCCCAAAGTGTCTAATTGTGGATGTCCCATCCCTGGCAGTGCCCAGGGTCAGGTTAGACAAAGCTTGGAGCAACCTGGTATAGTGGAAAGTTCCCTGCCCACAATAGGGCAGTTGGAACAGGGTGATTCTGAAGGTTTCAACCCAAATCATTCAGTGATTCTATGGCTGTAGGAAAGGACATTACTTAGAAAGTTACAGATATATAGTTAGCCACACTGAAATAGGCAGATTGCTTTAGAGATCAAATAAACACTGACCTTCTGACAGTCACAAATAAAATTTTACAGGATTCTTTTTACATGGAGCTCAGTTGTGCAGATGAGAAAAGTAAAGTTCAGTGGGCACGTTGCTTTTGCCCAGTTTCACAGTGCAAGTCCTTTGGCAAAACTTAAGGCTGAGCTCTGGCTCTTTTAGTCCCCAGTGCTTCAAGAACTCAACCATTCTCTCCTCAACTATACAAATAAAGATCTTAAGTGATTAAATGTAAGTACTGAAGCGAAGCTCATAGCGAGCAAGAGTGAATTGGCATGAAATGCAAACACAAGCATGAGAAAACAATCCATGTTTTAACCATAAATGCCTGTTTTCTACAGGAAAAGCTGTGTTCTCCCATAACATTTACAAGCCATCTTGTCCCCAGCAAGGATTAACATTTGGCATCGAAGTACTGATCTGGCAAAGGGCTGCCAGTAACGTAATCTTTTTTACAACCAACAACATGCTTAAAGTCTTGACAGACTTGACCTCTGCCCATTGCTAATCCCTAACTTTCTTGCCCACTCAGATATACATCTTTAAAGAGATGGCACCGAATGTACAGCAAACAGCTAAACTTTAACTGATGGTGAAACAAGAGCTGCCAGGGAAAATCACTGGATAGAGCTTAGCCAGCCTGGCTGGGATTTTGGCTCCATGGTGGGTAGAGGTGGCTGCTCAGTTAGACATTTGTGGAGACTTTGCTGCTGCCCAGATGGGAGAACACACCTTTTGGCAAGAGAGGATGTAATGTATTTGCTTGGATTACTGGAGAGCCCAAACTGTAATCAGACTCTTTGTGCTGAGACAGTCTGAACAGTCCTTGATCCCAAAGGATAAAGCTAAACAAAGTAGATGAAACTCACACATGGAAAAATGAGATATAAAGAGACCTTATATTTTACTGAATCAGTTTCTAAACTCCCAGTTCAGGCATCTGGTTGAAAAAACAGAGTGGTAGATTTACATTATATTCACAGAAAATAACAGTCAATCCAAAAAGATTCCAGCTGTCTTTTCTTTCATTTGTATGACAACCAGTCCTGGGACACATGCCAGCTCCTCAGATATTGCTGCTCCACAGTCTAGTTATTTTAACTTCTGGCAACTGGTTATTTGACCTCTTGGTGGCTTGTCATTTTAGTATCACTTTCTCTATGTGGATAATCTAGTGGGAATCCTTCTTTTAGAAGGCAACATGGTAATTGGCCAGAACACTTAAGCATTGTGCTGTAAAGTCCAGTCTTGAGCTACAGCTGAGGAGCTGTGGCTGGGAAGCACAAAAAGCACATTTCAGTGTCTTGTTCATGAATTGGTGGTCATCAGACACTAGAAGAAAATGAATTTTTTTCTAAGCCGTGTGTTATATATCAGCTTTGGATCACTGCATAAAGCCATGTGATAGCAACCTGCTTCTCCTGGATGAGCACAGCCCAGGCTCCAGAGGACACACAAGGAGGAGAATTGAACAGCATCACCCTCAGCTTCCACTGGCTTGAGGATGCTGAGTTAAATCACTCTGGTCAGAGAAACCAGCCAGGTGTAAGAACTCATCTATCCTTCTCTATCCAGTCATTCCAAAGCAGCACAAAAGCCAGTGGAATTCTCTGTTTCCCATGGACATCCTCCAGGGACTGGCCAGCACTGCTGGATGAGGGCTGCTTTTCAGCAGTTTCCAAAGCAGCCTGAAAGCTCTTCAGAAGTGCCTTGTGTCTGTAAAGAGTTTCATCTGATGAGAAAAAGCAGTGAGAAATGTAAACAAAAGAGGTAGCCATATATCTTTAATTTAAGGCAATATTCCTTTGTCCACCTTGAGCAGTCAAAGCACAGCCATAGGTTTTTCCAGTAGTGTGGAAATGGGATCTTAGAAAATGGTGTACTCAGTCTGACATGGACTTAAATAGGTTTCAGAATAATCCATTATGCATCAAGTGTTTAATTGACATAATTAATATTTTTAAGGGGAGCCATTTACATTGCAAGTTCTATACACATTATTTACAATTTCAACAGTAACAGTTAATGCTCTGTGACAAACTATATTGTTTCCAGCTTGTTATCCATTCATAACAAGGTCAATCTATTACCATTATTTTTGTGAATGTAGCTGTTACCTTGAGGCAAAAAGTTAATTGTAAATTACAGAGGAGGGATTATTGAGTTGGATTTTTAAACTGTATTCACTGCAATGTATGGTAATGCTGCTATTTTATGAAACATTTACATTTAAAAGCATTTTGTTATTCATGTCACACATGCTGGACAAATTCACTTTTAAACTTCTCAAAAACTTACTCAATGGGAAGGGAAGAGACATTTGGAAGGATCCAGCTCAACACCTCATAACCACTGCAGTTAAAACCAGATGGAGCCTCATTTATTTTTCCCCTTTGTCTGAGGCTGGTCCCTCTGCCATCACCATCCAACACAACTCTGAGAAGTGCTTAGTGCTCTGAGGAGCAGGAGCAGATTTGATTATAATTTAGAGTAACATCACAAAAGTGATCTGTAAGAGATGTATCTGCAGATTTTATTCAGCCCCTGGCACACAGCAAGTACACAGGGCCACTCTGATGGCTGAACTCTTCTCCTCCCTTCTGCACAATTTCTACTGCATTGGTTGATGCCCTGGCAGGCAGAGCTAAATTTTATATTTACACCCTGCCTTGTTTGCTCCCACCTGAGCAAAAGTCAAAGGGTCCATGGCGTTGCTGCTTCCCAGATGGCAGTAAAATTGTCATTCAGAGACTACACAGAAAAGGATGAAGAACCATCATAAAACCTGTCTTTCCCACATCATTTTAACAATGCATCTCAGGGCAAAACCCATGAGCTTTCCATTAGATCATGGACTTGTCCATCTTAATGGAGAGCTGACACCATTTAACTCCAATCTAGATCTGTCTGCAACGTTGATCTCCACTTTAGTTTTCTTCTATATTGTACTTGGAATTAGGTGATTTATATAATCCCATTCTATTCTGTCTTCAATTAAAACACTGTCATTTTATCTTCACAATCACTTCCAGAATAAGAGAAGACAAACTCATAAACACTGAATATTTTGAGCACACTAAAGAATGTAAGAGACGGATCAGATGCAGAAATGCATTTGCTGTCATACAGAAATAAAAAAGCATGTTAGAGTTTTATCTTCCTTTCTCTACTTAAGAGAGGCGAAAGTTGCTGGGATATTTCCTTAACCAGCCTATAAGAAGTAAGTTCTAACTCCTCAGTGATGAAATTTGTGTAGTCTGCTGAAGGTGTTTAGGTGAAATTTTATAGAGAACAATTTAAGCCTGTTACAATCTCAGTTGCTCACTTGAAAAAATTTATTCCTTTCTTCCTCGAGCCCTGATGAAAAATAAATTTGTCAGGCTTGTGTCTTATATTTCAAATGCTTAATGTGCTATACCAGATGAATGTTTTTTCCTACCTCATGCTCTCAGAAACTTCAAGGCATCATCAGGTATTAGCATATCAAGCTTGGAATGGGTTAATTAACATTATTTCTGTGGTCTCCTTTGCTGGTAGCATGTTCAAAGTGCACAAAGCTCAGGACATGTGCATTCTTCATCCAATAACTTGTCCAGTAATTGGTATATTGATTGCTAATGTCATCATGTTTTAGTATATATAAACCCTCTCACTCTATCACACAGCCGCCAACAATCCAAGAAGTCATTGTTTATTCATTGTAACTCCCAAACTGGCCGTGTCAGATTCTGCTTCAGGCCTTGCTGATAAAAATCAGCAGATGATTGGGCACACACATTCTTGACATGGCTGACCCATGACATCTTAGGGCCAGCAGGGAGCCTGTCATTATGTGTACAATACTCTTCTTTCTTCCCCCTTATCTATTCCCAGATGACTTTGAGATTTTTATTAACTCATTAATGACTGAAGATGTCATTAAAGAAAGTGGGGAGGAAGGGGGAAGAAGGACACTGTGTTTGTTTGTTTAAAAGTGGGGAGCAGCAAACCATTGGCTCCACTTGGAGAAAGGTGAGGAGCCTTAAAGACAAAGCTGAAGTATATCCAGAGGAAAAGATCATTAGTTCATTAGGATGACTAAAGCCAAGCTTTGAACAAAGAAAGATTATATTTGGTCGTATTTGAAACAGAACTAAAACGGGAGGAATGAATTTCTCTACAAAAGGCTGGTCAGGTTTATTTAGCACAATCAGGAGCCCTTACAAGCAAATAAGAATATGTCCCTGGCACTGGCTGTGTGTTCAAACACTTTAGTATTCAGTCAGAAGGAGTTTTGTGTTCAGGTTTAGAATTTTATCATGTTTTTAAAAGAGCATCACTATACACAGAGAAATAGTGCCTGGGTTTATGGGCTTTTTTGATTTTTGTGTATACATGTCAGTTGAAAGGACATTGAAAAGCATTAAATAGTAATCACACGAGAAGTTTTTCTCAGGGATGTTTTTTATCCTAAGTTTATAAATGCTATTTGTAAATGTAGAAAATTACTGTATATATAATTTTGCAGATTTTTACTATATGGACAGAATTTTATTACATTCAAATATATGTGTTTAAAGCAGAATTTTTGTGTAAGTCTGTTGATACCCTATTTCTGATCCTACAGCACTCAGTCCCAAAAATTACCATAAATTCAGGATAAACAGTTAGTCCTACCTTATAGATTTTTCTTCCACCTCAAAATATTGCTTATATTTCTTAATTTCTCCCTGAAACAATCTCAAATCTGATACTTTATTGGAAGCTGGATTCATACGACAATGAAAGTAGCCTTTTTCTCCTGAAATTTGTGTGTTTCCTATACTTAGAGTCCTGTCAGTTTGGAACGAAGGACTTAATATTTTAAAGACTGCAATTATTTTATTTTAATGATTGCCATTTGTGGGTTGACTGAGGAATAGTGAATGTTTTCCTTTCCTGGGCAGCTGCCCTCCATATGGTTGTTGATCTCAACCTAAAAAACTCTGATGTGATTCCGTGATTCCTGGGTGCTAAAGTGACACAGAGCTTGGTGTCATCTGCATTGGCTGGCCCTTAATATTCCTTGTTTCCATGCCTTTCTGCTCCATGAGGTGAGTGGAAGAAAGATGAGCCTGTTTCTCAAAGGAAGCTGCAGGTATTGGTATAAAATAATGGAATAACCTCCACAGATTGGACCTGTGAGTTCCTGCGACCAACTCAAACAGGAATCTGCTTATTCCATCACATAAACTGCAGACAATGGATCAGATGTATCAATCTGATCTTATAGACTGAGTAAAGTCAGTTTTAGTACTCCTAATAGGAGATAAATTAAAATAATTGAATTAAACCACATTGTTTGTGGCAACTCTCCATTCAATAGGTGATCAGATCACCTGGGTCATAGGGCAAACATTTCTTCTTGGGAATAATGATAATATTTGCTGTGTCCCAAGTCCTTGTGAAGACAGTGGATATTTTCTGCAATATTAGATGTCATTTCTGGTTTGCTTCTAGTGATTTTTATTCTTCTTTTGTCTCCTGATAATTAACAGAACATTGTTTGTATTGTAGTGGGAGCTGGAGTTCTCCATCATAGGTCAAGACTTCTGGAAGATGCTGTCTGGGGCTTTAAAAAACTGCATATACATATATTTTTATATACCTCTATTCTCCAAAGGAGCACAGATGGTTTTAAAAATTAAAAAAAAAAAAAAAAAAGGCAAGCATTTGCTGGCCTAATCAGCTATGCCCTGATTAATCAAGGTGTGTCATTTCCCAAATGCACCTTTGTGAGAGGAAGCTTTCCTTTCTCCTCCCATTCTGCCATCCAGCCTCTCTTCCATCGTGTACCAGAGTGGGAACCTGTCATGAATCTTTGGATAATGGACTGTTGCTTTGACAAACTACTCCTGGTGAAACACGTGCCTGTCTTGGCAACAATAATAGCAAAGTGCAGATTTTGTGGAAGAAATAGAGGTTTTGAGGGCTACAGCGCCAGACTTTGAGTCTATAAATTGCTGGCCTGGGATGTTAGATGCCTTTTAATATTTTCAAACATCCAGTAGAGTAATGAAAGAACTGTAGGGCTACCCTGATGTAAGACCTCGGGAGAGTTGTTTCCAGAGATCATGGGAGCTCTGAACTTGTTTAAGAACATGAAGTCCTATCCAAGTAATAGCTGGAAATAAGTTGCTTGATTTTTCTATCCCTAAAGACAAATTCTTGTAATAGCAAAAGTGTAAAATCCAACAAAGAGGGGCTTGATACTTTCAGATACTCCAGCCACTTCACAGTGGAAAAAAAAAAAAAAAAAAAAAAAAAAGGCAGACTGACAGTGAAACTATTTGGGGTAAATAATGAGGACAGACTTCTCAGAAATAAACTGGCATGGATTTGGCCATGAGATGTCAGATTCATAACTTGGGAAATGAAAGCCTCTATATACTAGAGAGCAGGCCTAGCCCAGCAGTGGCAATTCAGCCTTCTGAGCCACAGGGTTTTCTTTATAAGCAGTGGTATATTAAATGTGGGATCGGGTAGGCCAAAGGGACAGCAGTAAAACAGAGACAACATGCAGCGACCAAAAATGAGCTAAAGCCAGACACTAATTACTTCCCAGTAATTTGGTTTTCCTCTAGAGTTGACTAATACTGCTTGCTCCTGGAAAGTAAATGCTTTCCCTATCAGTTCGGTTTCAGACCTAATGCGTTTTTTTTCGTTTAAGTGAAACTGGGGAGAAAGCAGGTTTTGTTTATTTATCTGATTTTGCACCTTTTTCAACGTGAAGATGTGAGGTGGATTGTTACACTGCGCACATAGATGGAGTGGGCTGAGGAGGAGACAGGCCTAGGTCAACAAAGCAGATTCATCCATCACATCTGCCAGGGTGGAAAGATAGTTGTCTGGATGCTCGGTCAACCCGAGACCTTTCTGCTGAGTCAACTGACAAGACTGCAGATACTCGTGACAACGAGGACACTTATCCACTAGCAAGTGGACTGAAGACCACCAACACATTTTGGCGGTGGGTCTTCAGCTTGGGAAGCTCTGAACTCTTGAACACCACCATTTGCAGCCCTCCCCTCCTTACCCCCTGAGAATCTCTACCAAAAACTAAGATGGACTAAGATAAAAGAACAAAAGGAAGGGATTCTGAGGTGCTAATGGTGGAAGGTGTGAGAGTCAGTAGAAAGTACAGTAAAGAAACCCATGACAAGTCATGATAAATGGGTCGTTATAAAATTCATGTTTAGGCTGCACCAGTCTGGGGATAATGCCATTCGTCATGGCAACACTGGGGCACTAATGAGCCCTCATTGCATATTCATGGCTTTGGCGCCTCTCTCCTCTCTCTGCCTCCCTCCCACCCCGAACCAATGCCTGGTAAATATCTCCACCTCAAGCTGAAACTCGACTTAGGCTGCTTTTTTTTTTTTTTTATTTGTTATGTTGCAGCAATTACACTGTAAAAGTGCTGCACAAGATTGATTGCTCTGATCTGTAGTTCAATTGTAAATTAGAATACACATCCCCCTGGGGACACACGGCCCCTATTTGTGATTAAGAAAAAAGCCCCATAATAGACTAATAGCTAAAGTTCTCTCTCTTTTACTTTCAGGCAATTAGCTTGATGAAATGGCCTCTTTTTGTGTACCCTGGAAGTGTAAACCGATATCATAATGAAGTATATGATGTTTATTCTATTATTTTCACCTTGCCATGTATGCGGGAATGCATAAATAATGGCTGCTTTGTCTAGTACATTTACTGATTCAGAAGTAAACTCTGTCTTAAAGATGCAGCGTGTGATCCCGTAGCCTTCTGGACACTGTGACTAGGCCCTATAAAAACTCACATTCTGCCCAAAGAACTTGGAGACCGTTTTTAGACAGGTGGTTAAATACTGTTTGCAAGACACTTTCATTTATGATGAACTTTAATTGGAAAATCCTCCTAATAACCTTGTGGAAAACAAGGTACATCCACTTTGCAGAAAGGAAAACTGCGGGGCAGATGCTGAACACGTTACACGAGCCCACACAGGACCTTAATAAGTACTTAAGAAATCCTACCTCCTTGAAGGTTTTTTCAGGCAATCAGAAACTCCCTTTCCTACCTCTTGTAAAGTTATTAATGCTGTCATGGATGGGTCATGGAGTGGCTCTGACCTTACTCTTCCTCAGTGGCGTGTGGCTCCGCGGTGTCACGGTTGCCTTCATTCCACGTGACACACACGGCGAAAGCTCCTTCACCTGAATCCAAGGTGGATGTGGTCATGCCCATTCTCAATATCATGTGGTGGATGTTGGCTTTCCCAAGGCTCAATTTGAGCTGTCAGTCCGAGCCAAGCAGTGGTGTTGTGCAACGGTGTTAGAACAGTTGGTGTGCGTGCAGTTGAGCTCCAGATAAATATCTGGGAAGAAAACTGCCATGTGATGATAGCTCTGGGCATATCTGCCTGCTGAGAAAAGGTGTTTCTGCATTAGCCTTTCACTTTGGCCCAGGAGTGCACTTTTGAAGAGAATCCTCCAAATAACCCTGCTTACCCCGTCCCACCAGGCCAGGCAGCTTGGAGCACGCAAGCAGAATTCTTTGGTGCGGAATTAAAGCAGGTGATGTGGTCTGGGAGCTGCAGCAGCTAACGGGAATTCAGTCCACAGGAGCATGACAGGGATGGTCTGAGTAAACCTCTGCCATGCAGTGACCTGGGCCAGTCCCTGCTCCTCAGAGCATGGTGTAGACAGACCTGCTGAGTGGAGCAGGGCTCCTATCCAAGTTATGACCAACTTGGGTAGTATGGTAGGGAGGACGTGTGAAATGGCCTGAAAATCCTGCCTGAGGAAATGCACTGCTTTATGTATAACCCCATCAGTTTGCCTGCAATAGAAATGTCTCCATTTAGTTTAAATTCTGTGTGAGAAGGGTTCTGTAGGGGAACGTAACAGAGCTTGGAAACATTTTGCAAAGAAGCATTACCAGTGCAAACCTTCAAAGGGTAACTCTGTACATGGCTACAAAACCATATTCTGTTTAAACTTGTTCATCATTGTCTTCTTGCATGACAGCCCTGGCATTTAAAATATGTTAGAGGTGACACAATACTTTCACCTGGTGCAGACATATATCACTGGAAGGATGTTCTCATAAACAAAGTGCTGCAGGCTATGATCTTATCATTCTCCTCTTCCTTCTTCTCAGCTCAGTTCAATGACAAACACGTATTTCTCTTCTTTGCTCCAGTTTCTGCTCTGCAGGAGCCTGGTGCTGGAGCAACAGGTGATGTTGCAAATCAGGAATGACAAGCGGCGGTGGTGGCCTGATGGGGGGAATCATCAGAGGGGACAGAAAACAAATGCAGCAAATCTTACCCCAATTCTGCTGGCGCTGAATTCGTGGCACGGGCAGAGGTGCGCTCGGGTGCGTGTCTGCACACGCGTGAGTTTTTTGAGAAAGACAAAGCAAATTAGAGCGTTCATGTGTAATTAGCTGACTATTAGTGCGGTTCAGCCAAGGCAATAGGCAGACAGTTAACTTGGAGATAGCTCGCAGATAAAAGGGCTGGGAAGGGTGTTCTGGAGAAAGCTGGAGGTAATAGTTCAGAAGATAAAATCCTGACAAATTGAGCAGGCATCTCAGAAGTTCTTTCCCCACACCATCAGCACAGTGAAGCTACACAGGCCTCCCCTCTCTGCCCTACAAAGCTTAACCCTTCACGGCATCTGGGGCTCTTTTTCCTTGGATAGCTCACTTCTAAATTATTTAATTACCATTTCCTGTTTAAATGCATTAGTTTGAAATAAAAGGGTGAAATTTCCTGCTCGTGCTTCCCACCCTCCTTCTTGTGCTAGCATATGAAACAGAGATTATTACCCCTGTACAGGCTGGAATGCCTCCAGTTCTTTATCTGAGAGTGTCAGTGACCAGGTCTAGTAAAAACATTATCATTAAATATCACACCTGGGGAGAAACCAAAAGTGTGTCCGAGTTCAAATCTTTGCAACTTCCGTGAAGATGTGGGTGTTTTAGTAAATCTCTGTGCTAAATGAAAATGTCATTATAATTTTCACTCATTTTATAGCTGACAGGGAAGTGCTTTTTTCTGTCCTTTGGGAGTTTTCAGGATTTCATTCTTTCTCAGCTAATTCTGTGGCTAACCAATAAGCTGCTAAAAGTGAAAAATCTAACTGAGCCATTTGCTTCAGTAGTTTCAAAATATTTCATTTTTTTACTTTCACTTTTAAATTAAAAATTAAAATCAAAATATATTTCAAAGCAAATATATGTTCACTTAGAATAATATGTATTGGGACACTTGCCATTTTTTTAGAAGTCTTTAATATCTCTTTTTTTTTCAGTGGAGAAGCCTCATGAAAACTGCATTATTCAGTCCAAACCTTTTTGTTTGTTTGGTATTTTCCAGGACAAAGTTCTCATGGAAAACCCTAGCCACAATCCCCTTTTATCATTAATTCAGTATATCAGGGTGTTCTTGTTTGGGATGACTTTTGGGAAAGAATAATTGAGAACTTCATGCTGAGTTGATCCAGCAGTGAAATTCTCAAATACTGTTGCAATTATCCATACTTCTGAGTATCCATTCCTGGAAAACTTACATTTCTCAAAGGTCTATATGCTTATGCCCCCTTCCATTCCTCTCAAACAGGATTGATTAAATTGATTATTACTTTTGTTGAAGTAAAAGTTTATCATGGGTTTTGCACAACCTGTGCACTGTTTCTCTGACAGTGTGTAAACTCTGTAGCAAGACTGTTAGAACTTTTCCTGCAATGGAAATGCACTCAGGGTATTTCAGATGAGATGTTCTTTTCTGTCATGCCAGACACAGAATTCACCAAACAGACAGGAAAACCTCCACTGTTGGGGTGGGTAAAGCCATATTCACTGAAGAGCACCTTATTTTTTGCAGGCAGAAAAACACCTCTTGTGGTACAGTTAGCAACATTTGGTTCATAGCTATCCTTTAACCCTCAAAAGAAAATTCCCACTGCTACTTTTAATGCTTGTTTGTCCAAGCCTTGTGTAGGCACTTGTCACGAGCAAAATTTGGAACAAATTCTCTACAGAAGAGATGTGGAATCAAGAGTGGGCAAGACTGTGTTGGTGTTTCTGTTCATCTTGAAGGAGGGAGCCTTCTGCTACAGATCTCAAGCGATGCTCGAGGGGAAGAACAGCACCTACAAGGAGGAGAGCCAAGTGCCTGCCACTAGAGAGGAACCCTGGGGACAGTATCAAGGTAAGGGCCCTCACCAGCCACTCAGCAAACGCTTTCCTTGTGACTTTTGCTTGCCCCACTTACCTTCTTCCCATGTCCTGTCGTTTCCCTCATCCCATTCTGCACAATGCCAAGAAAGCCTGAGGTTTTACACAGATTTCTGGAGAGAGGAGCAAGCTTTCAAACAACTGCTTGCCTTGCCTGAAAATAGCAAAGTTGAGTTACACCAGGGGTCCTGCAAGCCCTTCAGCATCTGAGAAGCAGCTGAGGGAACCTGGGGTGTCCAGCCTGGAGAAAAGGAGGTTCAGGGAGGACTTTGTCACTCCCTACAACTCCCTGACAGGAGCTGTGGCCAGGTATGGGCCGGTCCCTTCCCCCAGGTAACAAATGACAGGTCAAAAGGAAAAAGACTCAGTTGCACCAGGGGAGGTTTATGCTGGATATTAGGGAAAATTTCATCACTGGGAGGGTGGTCAAGTGCTGGAACAAGCTGTCTAGAGACTGTCTGGAGGTGCTCAAAAATGTGTGGATACAGTGCTAAGGAACACAGTTTCATGTTAGACCTGGCAGTGTCGGGTTATGGTTGAACTGATGATCTCAGAGCTCTTTTCCACCCTTAATGATTCCAAGATTCTATGGCAGAAACTCCCAGCAGACACACAGAAAAATGTCAGAAGTCAAATGAATTCTTCTCATGAGGTATTTTCCCTGTTCCTATCACTCAGAGCATTAGAGACTGGCAATAGAAGTTGCATAAAACAAGAATGTTTAATGGTATTTTAAGTTGATTATATTTTTGGTATTCTTTTGGCAGAAAGTCCTGCAATTTAATTAACTAATTGTGCTGCATGACAAAATTTTATTCACTTTAAACCTCTTTTGCTCCTTGTATTAACATAGTCTATAAATATTCCCCTCCTAAGAACATTCTCCATAACATTTGCCATGGTATAAACCTCATCCCCCTCCTTCCAAAGAGATCTAAATTTATCTAGTTTATCCTGGCATGGAAGCAGATACATACAATTACTGACAAGACAGCCACTATCAAACCCAACTGTTGTTACTGAGACTGAAATTCTTCCAAAAATTAATTATTTAAAATAATCCAAACGGTGCAAATATCCAAAGATCAGACAGATCTATAAAACTTGCCTGTAGCAAAATCATGCAATTAGAATCATGCTCATAAGTGTTGCAGTCTTAAAACATTAATGGAAGGAGTTATTAAAATTGTATTTGATTTGCATTATTACAACACTGATTGCACTGTGGAAAACTGAGTCCATGAGTGAGGCACAGCACAAGCCAGAGTCTTATTATCTGAGCTGGAACTTTAAAATAGACTGTGCTTTACAGTTCTGCCTGAATTTTCTTTAGTTTTATTGCTCTTCTAAATTGATAAGGATTCCTGGTTTTGTATTAGAAATAGAAAATGAGGAGGAGGATAACAAAATAGTTGTAGATAAAGACTCAGAAAGGCAATTCAAGAAAAAAACAATCATTTCCAAAGTAAGTAATTTCTATCAGAAATGAGATGCGTTGTTGTGATCATAACTGCCATCAGAAGCCCCAAGAATTGCAGGGTTTCTGTAGACAACCTAGGGAAAAGTTGCCCCAAATGTGGAAGCAATTATAAAGAAATTCATGACTCACAGTAAGAATTCCTGGTTTTATTTCAATTACAAATAGACTGTAATTTGTGCATCTCTATCTGACATCTTTTTATTGGGCACTTACCCTCCCTGACATGTTTATAAAATTACCTGTTTCATTAGTGGGACATCACCAGGAAATCTGATGCACAAATACTGCCTTTAATCCAGCAGGAAATAGAGTTTGCTAAAGTCAATGGAATAATTTCAATCATTTCCAATAGAATTAGAGGTAAACCTGTGAGGGTTTAAAAAAAAAAAAAAATATATATATATATACATATATATATATATATATAACCACTATTACGAAGTGTAAGAAGGAATACAGGGAATTTTCTTTGCAACTGAGATATTTTTAGGTTTTTTATTCTTTAGAATCCCTGTACAGGCACGTCCCTCATGCACAGTTGTCAAAAATAGTGTTTAGACATTTAGACTCAAGTTGATTTAATACAGTACAGAAGTGTGCTCTAAATTTTTCAGGGCAGTGAAAATGTGTAAAAATGGTGTCTTTATGTTCAAAAGCTCCATTTCATTCAGAAGAACAGTGCCAATAAATTTTAAAAATTAGATTATTTCTATTAAAAATAGAAATAGTGTCTTGTAGAAAAAACACTCTTTCTTCTAAACTTAAAACATGTTTTAAAATTCCGTATTCAGATCCTTAGCAGGTGTAAATCATCACAGAAATTATGCTGTTACACTTTACATGATATTACCAAATTGTCTTGCTGGTAATTAAGAATATCCTCTACGGAATAAGGACCAATGACAGGAGAAAGTATAAGTTGATATTGTCTCAGCACGCATAAGTGGTAGACAGAAATATTCATGTGCGTAATCTTGCACCTTCCCTACATGATACCCAGTGGGCTAAAGTAATAGTGTACAGAATTATCTTGGAAAAGGCAATTCTCAACAGAAACTAAAAATTCTTATGAGTTGTCTGTGTTTCTCATAATTATACGTGGCAAAAATGAAGATAAAATTAACAGGCATGCTCTTGGAGAATGTTTCTTTAGATTTTTTTTCTTTATAAAGTTTTTCTTTAAACTTTCAGCATATTGTAGACAAATGTTTTCCAAGCCCAAATTTTCTCTATTTCATTCCAAGAAAATCAGTATCCCTTTCTCCACTTCTTTTCATGGCTCTGTCATGTCTGTAACATACAGCCCAGGGAAACCAATATCATTCCTATTACCCAGGAAGGCAATGAAGCTGTTCTGATCAAAGATGAAATTTCTGAATTTCTGGTGTAAATTTCAGGGGAAAGGCCTGAATTCAACAAACACTTCCATGAAGAGCCAAACAGCCACTCTGTCTTCTACAGCTCCTCTAACTCACCAACTTTTCCAGAGAGAGTCTTTTCCAGAATCAAACTTTTCTTTAAAATGCAAGTGCTCTCCTTCCTCAGAATTAAAAGTGATTCTCATGAAATTTATTTTCTTCTGATTCTCATGAAAACTATTTTCAACAGCTCCCTTAAGGAGATGTCCATTATGAGCAGCAGAGGCTCAAGGCTGGAATTTCAGGTTTGAAATTTTTCATGAAACATGCTCTGACCTATGTGTTCAGTTCATGGCCCTCCCCAGTATGCTTTGGCCTTTAGAAATCAATTTTCTTTAATTCTAACTAAGTTACTGTGAGGATACAAGGTCTAAATTCCACATAACATGATGTTATATCCATGGAACATCAGCATACAGCTGATGACCAAGTCCCTGTTTTCTCATTTTGGATAAAAAGGTCAGTATTGGTTTCACTAGCCCCCCAAAAAAAATCTGGAAATAGTCAACTGAGAGAGGAAAAAATACAATGCATAGTGAGTGGTAAATGATGCTTGGATGCATGTGTTTAAAATGTCCTGTAAATGCAGAATAACCAGAATCATGATGCATAAACACATGACATTAAAAGGCCAAATATACTAAGACTAAAAAATATTCTGTATAGATGACTTGTGGGCATCCTTATGGCAGATTCTGAGGGATATTCTAGATTCTAGCAGGACTCAAGAAAGAATTAGGCATGTGTGTATATATAGGAGTAGTTTTTGATCTCATATAAAATGTAGAAGTTATAAAATACTGTGTATTAGAGGTCCCCTGAGCAAGAACTATTATCTCAGAATCTACTGCAAACACATTACTATCGGAAGACTTATTCCAAGGTATGAAAAAAATCCACTAACAGCAGGAAATAGAAACGTTTGAAAGCTCCTCTGGAAGCCTCAGAACCAAACCAGGATGCCTCTGTGTGAGGCAGGCTCCAGCAGCACGGTCCCTCCAGGAGCTCTGATCAGGCACTTTCCTGATCTTCATGTCTGCACACTCCAAGCAGGGACATGCTGAATATTAGCACCTTTCTGCTTAATGTGTGAGGCTCTCTTTTAATCTCTTGGTATCCTGTCTGCTCGTGGAATGCAGAGAAGTGTAGTTTTTTCCTTATTAATATAGAACTTACAAGTGAAAGATCACCTGTTGTAATGCAGGAAGAAATTTTTTACAGAGGGAAAATTCTGTGTCCTGCACAAGCAGTTCCTTCTGTACAGCCTCCAGTGATCACATCCCATTTCGTTGCACATTGGAGTTTTCAAACCTCCAGAGTTTTGTGTTTAGCAAAGCAGATGTGCAAATGGAGATCTGGGTGACCTCCCCTCTGAGAAGCAGGCCTTTGACACACATTACTCCCCTGCTGACAGCAGGAGAAATGTGCATCAGCTGGCATTTCACACCTGCAACTAATGTAGAAGTTGTAACAATATGAGTGAGCATTAGGGAGAGAAGGGATCCTTTGGACATAAACCAGCTATATTTCACAGGAAAGGTGCAAATCCACATTATGACTCAGGATATGTATTAGCTGCAGCCCTTCGGTAACCTAGAAAGAAAGAATTATATCCAAGGGAACTTACCTCAAAGAGTTTCTCTTTTCTTAGGCAGAAGTGATGATTAGGCTAAAACTGGCCATTTGTTTTATCTGTGGGTCAGGAACAGACAATTTAGTCCTTGCAGCTTCAGCTGTCTTGGCTCGAGATCCTGACCTACAATAAATACCTCTTCCAATCAATAGAGCACTGAACTTGGAGCAGAGCCGAGGACCTTTCCTGGCAACTTTGGCCTGGACTGAGCTGACCTGGTAAATCTGCAGGGTTTGGGGAGAGATCTCACTGAAAATCCTGAGTTCTCCAAGTCCTCTCTGCCTTAGGCTGCTGGGGACAGGAATTACAACAGCTTTTCACGTGCTATTTTCTTGGTGACAGATGCTCTGCACTGCTCCTTGGGCTTTTTGGACTTTCCCAATGCTGCAGCACACATCCTACAGAACTCATCACTGCTCAGGGCTCTCTTCCCTGAAGATCTATCAACTGTAGAGCATTTGGGGTTGGATGTGTTTGCTCCCCCATTTAGGTGTAGCAAATCTTGTTGGGTGGATAGGAAGGTACCACCATCCATGGTCTAGCCCTGGGAGCTCATCTCCTCTGGATGAATTCTGGGGGTTTCTCTGCCAGTGTCTAAAGGTGGCTGCCCCGATCCCTCCCTACAACCTGATGTCTTCTGCCAGAGAAATGTCACAGCTCTGAATGAGCAGCTTCAGCTCCTCCTGCCAGGGTGGGAAGGGGCCACAGCAGCACATCTCTCCTTGAAAAGTCAGGGTGCAACCCCCACCAAAGCGGGCCCCTGGGCAGTTTCGTGACATTTCCTTGGGAAAGGAAACCGGTTTGTCACCTCTTGCTTAACGGTGTCACCTCAAGGCAGAGCTGAGGGGGACCTATGGGCACGAGAGATGAGATTGCATTATTAACACTATATTCATCTTGTTCTGAAGATCATAGAATCATAGGAAAGCTTGGGTTGAAAAAGACCTTAAAGATCACTTAATTCCATGATATTGTATTTTCCAGCCTCAAAATGTGATACAACATTAAAAATGTGGTGAGAGTCTCACTTACATAAATATTAATTTATAGATTCTCCTACCAAAGAAAATAATGCATCTTCCTGATTTCTCTTAGAAGATACAACAGCTCCAAAGTGGCTGAGAGCTGTCATCCTCCATGACCCCTTGGGCTGAGAGTAGCATGAAAACATAGAAAAGGTGTTCTTAATCCAGAATAACATAAACTACAGATGAAGTATGTGTGAATACTTTTGTGTAAGGTGAGTACGTACGTACTCTGCAAAATGCATTTTGGGTGTAGTTGAGAATAGGAGTGTACACAATTCAAACTTACCAGGAATATCAAGGCAGGTGGGAAGGGCATAGAATAGAACAATTGTAGATAAAGGTAGGAAAAAAGGAAAGGTGAGAGATGTGGACACAGCTAAGAGGATGACAGGTGTGACAGGCAGGAGCAGGTAGGACAAATCCAAATGGTTCCTAAGATGGCAAAATGCCTCTCTGGCATCTGTTTTTCCACAGTGGTGTTACAGTTATTTTTCTACTGCTATACAAATGCAGCTCTGAAGTCCTCCTGATTAGTTTTCCCCCCCTGTGTAAGATGTCCTTTACGCTGCGATGAGATCATTTGTGTATTAGTTCATTTTAATCTTTTCAGAAGGAATCCAGGAACTGCAGTGAGGTCATGGCTGCAGTAATGTCTAAAAGGATGGTTTTATAGAGGAGGAGAGAAATATTCCTCTCATTTAGCAAAGCTGTAACAGAATTTGTGGCTCTCAAATGCGTTGGACAAGTTAAGTTTTGGAGTTTTTTCTGTTGTGTGTTTGCAAAGGACAGCCTGCTTCATACTCTTGTTTTTTCCCTAAGTATTGGATAAGTCTAATAAAGGTTGCAGACAAAGCATCCTGTTAGAACTCCACCTGAACAATCCTCTAGCATCATCCCAACCCATGGCACCTCCCAGTCTTACTATGAAGAGCAGGGTAAAAATACCCAGACTTCTCTGACGGCCTGAGTGTCCTCACATCAGACCTCCTGCACCATTGAAAAGGCAGATACCTCACTGAAAGCATTCTTGTTCCCATCACTTTCAAGGAGAAAAATCCTTGGAGCATCCCCCAGGGCCATGGTATCACTCTTTAATAAGATATATTTGTGCTTCATGGGTCAACGGGGCAATGTCAGGCATGAATTTGGACCGTGACATTTCGGGCAACGACCCAAAAATAAAAGTGCTAAAATTTCACTGTTACTCTGATTTTCACCTCCAGTCTTTTCTACTCTCTGTGGACATGACAAGACTTAATGTTATAATTCTGAAAGGTCTCTGTATGTATTTAGTACTGGAAAGAGACATGTAGACAGATGGAATCACGTGCCTTGCTTTGCCATGGCCAATATATTATATTTTAATCTGTTCTAATGAACTTTAAAATTACTCCCCAGCATGCATTGGTCAGAGGGGTTATTCTGAGTGTGCCATCTTCCTTGAGATCATTCCCTCTGGATCTGCTGGATCAACAACAGAGTGGTGATAACAAATACACTGCTGCTTCAGCCCAGCACTGTGCTTTCCCCCTCTTTGCTAAGTGAATTTGTGCATACCAAGAGTTGCACTGCTCCTCTTTTAGCAACTTCAGGGCATTAGTCATGTGCTCAAAACCAGTTCCCCTTTCACATCTAGAGACCAAACGTCTTGGATGATCCATGGGACACAGAAGACACCACAGGCTTAGTTTTGCTCCAGGGGATTGAGAGATTTAGTTACCCAGAGAGGAGTGGGAGATTAATGGTGCTCGTTGATGGTGACAGGGACCTGTGTGCTCTAAATCCCATCACAAGCAGAGAAGAACCCACCTCTACACACTACTAATATGCATAACTATGGAAAGAGTTTTAAATAAAAAAGACTAATTAATAATTCTTAGTGGTCTAGGTGTCTAAGTATGAATTGTCAGGGATTTCTGCAGGCTTAGGGAGGTGGGGAAATGGGTTAACATCACATTGTTTCAAATTACAGGGTTTTAGATTGCTTCAAACGAGAAGCAGAGAGGGTTTCCACACCAGATTTGAGACGTTTGTTCTCTTTTATTTGTACTCAAATTTCTGCTTCAGCTCACACAGTCATTCTACCCAGGCTGCTTCCCAGACCAGCTAATTTGTCTACCTGTGCTCCATTTTAGGCCTTGGTTTTAATTTGAGGATGATTCCTGCTAATACCAAAGACTGGATAGGACATCCATTAAAAGTCTACACAGCAATTGAAATGGAAAATTCCAAAAGAAACCCTATTAGAGTTTTTCTCCATCAAATCAACATTACAGACTTCTTATGCATTTCTTAATTAGACATTGATATTAACTGGACTGTTGCATGATTTAAATCTAGCTCTTAATCTCAGCTATTCTATGCTGCTGTAGTTTTTATGACATCCAACTAGCGACTGCTTTATGCATTAATCTATCTGGAAAACCACCTTCACTTTTTTTTTGTCTTTTTTTAGAAGAATAAAGGCCCCAAGAAGGAAATGAAAGCTTTTGGGTTCAGCCATTAGTAATTTTCTGCTTAGTATTTGAAAAATTGCTTATTTTAATTGCTTCATAGAAGAAAAAGATATCAAAGCTAACGTTCTTTCTCTCCAAACTTTGTAATTATTTCTCTCAGACTCTTATTTGAAATGCCTTGAAAGGATTTTCATTGAAATGTAGATTTCTTCTCTTTCAAAAGTACTTTTATTCCCCCGTGCTTCTTTCCCTTTTTTTTTCCTATTGACTTCCTCTCTAGATTTAGAGTAAAAACATAGTCTCCAATGTCTGGGCACTGCAGCATGTGTCACACAGATGTCCCTAAAGTGACATCTTCTTTAAACCTAACCTTCCCATGGCCTATAGACTGTGCTGACAATTTGCCTTAGGTCTTAGTCTGGTACCCTTGGGCTTCCTCCAGGGATAGCAAAGAAAATTCATAGGTGATAGAGGGGTTTGCTCTATCAGTCTCTACTCATTCTGAAAAGTATTGTGTGATTTGCTTATTAATATCACCACCACAATTAAGAACCTAGTGGAAAAATTCTATAAATAGGAGTGAGGGTGTCATTGAGCTGAAGCCAAGGCACAGGTAAGCCTTCTATAGTTTTGGTTCTGTTTCCAGCAGTGCAAATCCTCAATATCCGAATCCAGAAGGGAATTTACTAACCAAACCCTGTAGTTAATTCTGCATTGTATTTAAATGTCAGTAGCACAAAGCCTCAGGATTGTGTTGGCCTCTACAGTAAACCTTGATACCAATACAGCAATAGTAGCAAGTTCTTTATTTCACCTATACATTCAGAGAGCATTATTTACTAATAGATTATGATCTGGTCAAAATGATCTATACATTCATTACATCTGGAGTGGGCTTTCATAACTCACAGGACCTAAGAATGAGGCAAAACTCACATTTGTTTATAGTGCTGCAGTTCTGCTCAGCAAGAAAAGGTGCAGAGAAAACACTGTCCTAAGCACTTGTGGTCTGCTCTGGCTCCCCAGTGATTTCTCATGCCAGCTCACAAATATTTTTAAGAGCCTCAGAAGAGTGGGGACCTGGCTGCCTCTGAGCCACCTCAAAATACAGCTGTTCCTTTGCAAATCAGCCACCCCACAAGCCTCATGCAGTCATGGCTGGGGTTATCTCCCAGGGGAAATCTTCCCAGTGGAACAAAACATTTGGAGAATAGAAGATGGAAATGAAGCTAAAGCATTCTCAGTATCAGATTTTGCACACTTTTTTTTTTTTTTTTTTGCAATAACATAGAAGGAAGAAAGAGAATAAGAAAATGAGTTAGAGGGAGATGGAGAGAGAGATGGTCTATTAAGCAAAGCTACTTTTTTACTCTCTGAATTTACAGTCCTGATAGACATCTTTTTTCAAAATTACTCATTTTTTATATTCAGATACTACAGCTTGCAGTACTAGGTCCTAGATTTGTCTGGACAGATTACCCTCTTATTTCCACAATGAAACTTAATTATCCTTTTTATGTCTTCAGATACTTCCAGTTATTTCCTGAACTGTTTCTGGGGACAGAGAGCAGCTGATGGGTCAGTCAGTGAAGTAAATACTGTGCATCCCTACTGTTTTTAAGGTAAAAGCCCCTTGGCCCCAGGTGTTTTTAGAATATTTTGAGGGCTACTACATATAATTTGCTCAGATCTACTTTTCTGAGCTTTTTTCTTTTTGTGACTAGGCAGAGACTCATCATTTTCTCAGCACCTTTCTGTGTATTACTTGGAAGCATCTAAATGTGACTAACTCACCTGGAATCCATAGAGGGATATTTGAATGCGTCATCTCTGAGACAAGAATAACTCCTCCTGAAATCCAGGGTGGAAATGACTGCGTGGTTTCAAACACCCCTTCCTGTACCCCTGCTGCTGCAGCAAGAAGGAATGCATATGACTACTTAAAGCCCAAATGAATAAATAAATTGGTTCAAAGCAATGGTAGGAGCACAGAGGGGTGTGAAAGTTGCTGGTATTGAGTTGTTACTGGATTTTAGAACAATCTGTAGGTTTCATCTGTAAAGAAACCTATAATACATGATCCTGCCTTCTGTCTGAGCAGGACTAACACAGAGCAGTCAACATGAAAATGTCACCTAAGATAACCCAGGACATCCAGGACATGCAAGTACTGAACAGAAAACTATAATGAGTATCCATTCAGACTTTTAGAGTTATTTTTTAGCTTTTTAATTTTTAAGTCTCAGCTGTTCAAAATAGAAAGTAAAGAAGTGTTACAACTAATTAAAATATAAATTGGCTAGAGAAAATCATCCAAATCATCAGGAATTAGAGAGAGAGCTCAACTGGGCATGTGTTATAGAATCCTTTATGAATTAAATGCTAAATCCTAAAGGGCTGAACTGACAAAATAATCTTAGTATCTAAATAGAGCAGATACACTTTACTGGATTGAATAAGTAGTGGTCAAATGCAGTTTAACTAGGCTGGGATGAACAACAGACTTTGTAAGGACTTTACATATTGTATACTCCCCAAATTAAACAAAACTTCTCTTACCCTGGCACAATGTTCACACTGCAGTCACATCTCTGCATGGAAGTTTCTTCTTCCAAGTCCAACTTGTGTCCCCAGCCTGAAAGCAGGAACCAGGATGGTTCAGTATCACTGAGTCTGTCATACCAAAACCAGAAATTAAGATGTCACTGCGGTATAAAACACAAGTTTCTCTGTCACACCCAACCTACATTTTCTCCAGATGAGTTCATCCTACTCGGTTTCCATTATCCTCAGAGAACAGATAATCTGTTTTCTATAAATACAATAAAGAGTGCTTCAAATGACATGACATTTTTTCAATTCACCATTTCGGTGATTCAAAATAAGTGTGAAAAGAAAACATGCCGAATGCAGCAAGCAGCAGGAGCCCAGGACTGAGGCCCTCAGGAGGCTGAGTCCCCATTTTTGCTGCTGATGGATTCTCCCATCTCAGACCTGCCACCTGAACCTTCACCTGGGTGTATTTACCTGTCTCCACAGGGTCCTGCAGCCCCGTGTGCTGCACAGTCTGCACAGCAATAAACTGGGTCCTGATCTCATCCCTGCAACTGGAAAAAGAGAGATAAAAAATAATAATAAGCCCAGAATAATTATGTATTGTTTTTATAGTGAAACAGGCCTTGAGCATTGTGAGCTCTCCACTGGGAGAAGTCCCATTTAAAAAATCTCCCTGGCACAAAAATGAATTGGGTCCTGTTACATGAATGGCCTGTGTTTACTATTCTTTTCACTTACCTTCTAGTTGTTCATTTTCTGAGCTGACTTGTGCCTCTTCCTCTGTTGTCAGCAGGATTTGGGTAACAAGAACTTGCTGGAAATGGAGTAGTAAACAAATAAACAAATACAGAAAAGAACCTGCTGATTTGGCAGATGCACTATTACAACCATGATGTAAAACTATCAAACAACAAATGCAACTTCTGGATGTCTCATGACTCACATCAAAACAGAAAGAGAGGAAACTGAAAGAGGATTTTAATCAGTGATAATGAATTTGGAACAACACTGGATTTTCAGATCATAGGAAAATCAGGACAAGTCTGGGTTGAATTCTTGGTCTGAATCAAAGATTCTTCTTCCTGTAGCCATCAATCACTGCATCCATGATCTGTAAAAAGTCAGCACTTGGACTACCCCAATAGCAATGACCACTCTACTATAACCAAAAAGATCAGTCAGCATCTTTGCTCTAGGGTAAGGAAAATATTTGACACTTCAAAAGTACTCATTTCTCCTCCCAAGAGCCCAACACCTCTAAGCATGTTACCAGGGCTCCTTGCTTCATCTGTTTCAATTTTGAAGCTCTTAGAAAAGGTAACATTTCACAAATGCTGCAATGGTCTTGCCCCAGGGAGATGGACGAAAGAGCAGGGCAGAGGCAGAAACACCACAAGGAACCTAACGGATGTTTTCTTGGGGAAAAGGGGAGATTAATTAAAGGGCAAAATCTGCTGGTCATTAAGTGTCCTGGAGCAACTATTGTGACACTGAAGCGGTGAGTTTCTGTGTGGCTTTAAGACATCTGCCCTAAGGAAACATTTGCAATTGAAACTGTGTCCTCTTTTTCCCAAGTCTCCGATTCCCGTGGGCCAGCAGTTGCCTTGCTAAATGAAATGCTTCTTTAGGGAGAATGGCTGGCCCCAGGGATTGGTAATGCAATATAGAGCCTTTCATCTCTCACCCATGAACCCAAGTCAAACAGAGTTTGGTAAATGGCCAATAACCCCTACCATTCCAGGGCTGTTTGGTGACCTGTGCGAAATGAGGAGGGTCATCTCTGTGTCTGTTTACTAGAAGGCAAGTGTCAACTTCACCATAAAAAAAGGACACAGTTACTACTCATTATCACCCAATTTAACATTCTGAAGACAAGAGAATGAGCCTGGAAAACTCAGCCATCTTCTGACCCAACCATGGCGGTCCCAGTACATCAGGCCTTGAAGAACATTAATGAGGACAGTTGCATTGTGGCAAACCAGGCTGTGCCTCTCCTGCCAACAAGAAATCCAAGTCTGAGCTACTCTCAGCTGTATGTGATTACAATCCTTCCCAGACCCACATGGAAATCCACAGGATTCAGTCCAGTTTTGGGGTGCAACAGGCACTAAAGCACAACCATGAAGTCACAGAATGCTGCAGACTTCTGCAAAACTGCATTTATGGTCCTTAATAGGCACAGGCAACCTTCAAGGGGACCCAGAATCCAGCACTGACAGAGTTAATATGCTGAGAAGCCTGCACTGAAAGGCTCTGTTCCCTCACCCATCACGAATATACTGTTCTGGTTACCAAAATAGCTGTATTTGGCAGGGTTGAAGGCCAGAAGCTCACTGCAGTACCCAGTCTTGCCCTATGCACTGCTCATTTTAAGGTCAGACCTTTAGCATCAGGAATCTGTTAGAAGAAAGAGGAATCGCTTTAAAAGTTGTTGCCACTCTGGGGATTACCCTGGAAGGTCTGAGAGGGTAAAGGAAAGGGCAGGGGCAGATAAACACTTGGCCACATGAAAAATCAGCTGCCCCTAAATTTCAATACATCTGCATAAACCTCCCAAAAGTGCAGCCAGCTTGCTCTTCCTCACGGTCACCACTCTCATTTTGCAGCCCTTCTTATGCCACTGCAATGCTAACTCTGTCAGCTGAGTTACTGTTTAATCCCTCCTATCTTGATTAATTGCATTAAATTGGTATACCTATGTTAATTAAACAGAAGATGGCAGAGGCAGTTTTACTTCTTGTTCTTTTGTGTAGATCATTTCCTAGGGCTTCACAGGTTGTGGAAAAATAACAATACAGACACAGCACATGTCATATTTCAGCACAGCTGATAAAGCTATTTTACTCATACAGTAGTCCATGATTCTTTTTGCATATCACAGTATAGGTTTAATTACCAGGCTGCTGCTGCGTGGCAGCTCTTCTTGCTTTTATTTTTTTTCTTATTTGTATTATTTGCAAGTCATAATCATGTTTTCCTGTCATCCCCGAGCAATGTGCATGCGTGCGTACAGGCAAATGCCAGGCTGGGAAAAGAAATTTGATGCGTGTCCATGAATTAGAGTTTTCAAACTTTGGCTGAAGATTAGTGCATGTAAACATAGCTCTGCCCCCTTCATCTTGGATAATTGGTCACAAATGCTACTTGACACTTCTCAAATCAGACACTTTACATACTTCTGAGCATAGCTGAACTTTTTTGGCAGGAATTAATTTGCCTTGCAACTTAGCTGCTCATTCCTGGCCCGATCCCTGCTCCAGTGATTTCAGGGCAATGTTCTGCCAGTGTGAGGAGCACAGAGGCAGGACCGGATCTGTTTGGTAGCGCGGACGAGCCCGGCTTTGTTGACTCCCTCAGAAAAACAATTACTGCAGCTAATGTTCTGCCCTTTGCCAGCCTTGATTAACATCGGGATTTTTACCTTCAGGCCCCTCTTTCTATTCCAATTACTGAGAAAGTTACAATGCATCAGAGGACATTTTAAAATAATGGAGAAGGTGATGTAGCATCACCAGAAAATGCAACTTTCGACACACCAAGACCCTTCCACAGCATTTCCAGCTTTATGGGAGATGGTTACAGACACCATCCAAGGAGACTCTCTCACTTTTTTTCCTGCCCCTCCTGCAAACAGTGCACGCTCCAGCAGAGAAGGGAAATCCATTTCTGGAGTAGTGATGGAGTTTGAAGCAGGCACAGAATTTCGTGCTATTATAGAGCCCCCTGTTTGCTCTGACAGTTCAGCGTGTTTACTCACCGTGCACCAGAACTGCGAGAGCTGAGCAGACCATATGCTCACTTCGAAGGGCTGCCAGGTCTCAGGGAGCATTTCTGTGCCTATTCCAGGAGGGGTTTGGGGCAAGAACACATTCCATAAAGGATTTCACTAGGAATATTGTATTTTATCTGGTGATTTATTTCTGTCCGGTCTCTGGACTAAATGGCAGATTATCAGCATCTCCATGTAGATCTGTGAATAACCAGAGGAAAATCTCATTTGCCCTTTATTCACTGGGTTGTTGATAAGCTGCAGCATATTAAAAAAAATTTGTCAGTTTGCTCTTCTCAGCTATCAAGTGGGGTATGCGCCAGCATTCCCTCCTCAAGCTGGCTGCTTCATCCAGAAAATGGAGAGAAATGATGAAACCATGTCAGTTCTAGAAGAGGGTGACCATTTGAGTTATTTTAGGATTATTTCCTTGCTTCTAAACTAAAACCAAATCTATAAATTAGATTGAGCTCCTACCTGCAGAAGCAAAGGGTGGAACTTTGTGCTGTGCTTCAGGTGAAGACCATGAGAGGAGCAAATCCCTGGGGGTGCACTCGTGTTGCCTTGGTTCTCAGGGCTTTGTGCAGCTCAAAGCAGTGATGAGGAGTAGCCAAGGCAGAAACAGTCCCCATCTCTGGTGGCTTGTGCCATGAGCAAGGGCTGACCACAGCCCAGGGCCAGGGAAGCAGCTGCATCAGCCAATTCCCTGGGTGCTTGGTCCCCACACTTTCCAATCACGGTCTTCTGATGGTTCATCCCTAGAAAAGAAGGGTAGCTCATGTTATCAGAAATGTGGCTGATTCACTGTGGAGAAGCAATAATTTGCTTCCCCAGAATTCGCCAGATTTGCCATGGAATAACTGAAAAACCACATTTCATATTAGGATGTCTTGAGTTTTTATATATTCTTACTTTGAAATAAACAAATTGAGATGTATTTTGCTTCCTTCTGTTTAACTCTGATATTTGAATCACTGTGGGGGTGGTGGGTATGATATTTCTAGGTGAGCAAGACAACAATTGGCCAAGAGATACAGCACAGCTCTAAAGTCTGAACTAAAGAGGATGCTTGGTTTCCATTACTATTATCTATCACTATAAATTTAGCTTTCAGGTTCTAGACATTTTAAAATAACATGTCTAGTGTTGGAATAGGAGACTATCAGAAAAAGTGAATTACAGGTTACAGGCTTCCAGGATTTGCAGTAAAAGACCTATTGCTGTAATTACGCCTGTAGAGTACTCATTTATGTTGTTATTAGGGGAAAGGGATGGGAGAATTAGGGTGTATGGAAAGAAAACATTGCAGAAGGGGAGCTAAATAGTTTAACTGGGACAAAGCTCCTGGTCACGCTTCTGTTTTCAGCATGTGAAGTCACCATGTGCATGTGGACCTGCAGTGTCCAGGCATTTAGCTGAAACCACTATAGATCACCAATATCTGCTACAAATGGACACAAACCTCAGCCCCCAGAAAGGCCCAGCCTCACACTCAACCCCCAGATTGGGGGCTGATATCTTTTGTACCACTGAACATCTCCATGGTCTTTGCTGGGTGCAGATGGGGATTGATCAAGTGACTCCATGAGCTCCATTTGTCAGAGACAAAAGTCCTTCCCCATCCTCAAAGAAGATCAAACCCACATTCTTGAACATTAGAAATGAGACTAGAATAAGGAAAAACAAAATCTTCTTTTCAGGGGAGAGGTGACTCTCCATTTTGACTCGTTACTTTGCCAGGGCTAAGTGGCCATTATTAGTCCACAGGTAGTTGCTGGTGTAAATCCACTGTGTCACCTCCTGGATGTCATTACTAAAAGTCAGCAAACTCGTGCTTCACTGGCTGAAGGTTTGCTTGCTTAATGCCTGGTTTCATCAACAAATGCAGGCTGGCAATGACATCCTACTTGTCTAAGCTAATACACAGCCGGGCACTGTCCTTGTTTCCCTTCCCATTCAAACTTATGGCCCAGAGTTAGTGACTACCAAAAACCAACATTACAGCTGGAGAACGAAGTGATGAATGGACATGAGGTTTGCATGTAGATAATTGGAAGTCCGGCTGCGTAGATCACATTATTTAATGTATCATCATTATGTTTGTATTTAAAAAGCATTTAAAATATATTATTTCTTCTATTGCTCCATCTCTTCAGCACTCTGACTCCAGGGATGAATCGTGCTGTGTGTTTTGGTAGAGATTTGTTTTCTAAAACATGATGGAACCATGTGGATCTTAAATCATTGCTGTAATAAATGAGTTGTCCCTACTTAAGGAAACTCTTGTGTCAGGAGTAAAAGTCCTTGTTTAGCTGTGCTGCAAGAAGCAGGATAATATTTGATTATGACAGTTGAAACTCATCTCCAAGTGCAGACAATATTGATTTGTTCTAATATAGAAAAGGTGGAATTAAAAAGCTGGCTTATTTAGAAATTTACGTATTCCTAAAAATGTCTGTTCAGCTCATTTTTAAATTTGATTTCATATCCCAAGTGAATTATACTGTATTTCTGAATCTCAAGAACTGCCTGTGCCTGATAAGAGCTGATCAAAGGACTAGCATAATTCAGTTGGTTTGATTGTAAGATTTTTGTTTGCTGCTTTACTGGACAATGGCGTTTGCAAAAGTGAGGTGAAGAGCACCAGAGATAGAATTACAGCCCACAGTTGGTGCATGAGACTTAATATTAGTATAGGACCACAGTCTATAAGATCAATGGCAAATTATACCAGTTAGCAGTCAAAATCAATGCCTGGTTCTGAAAAAAAAAAAAACAGCAAGGAAAATCTGTGCCAGTGTCCCAGCATGACAGATGAACTTGGGCAAGTTGAAGATAATCATGATTATTTAATATTCCACAGTTTTACAACTTGTTACCCTGTGGACAAAAGATCAGAAGTCTGCTGAATCCAAAGGTTTGAATCTTTGGGTCAATATGCTCCTCATGTCATCAACATTGTTTAATTTAGGAGGAAACAGTTCTGAGCTAAGATAAGATCGCAGACAAAATTGACGTGGGCTCACAACACGGCCTAACATAACAATTTAATCTACCCTGTGCTTCCCCTGAAAGAAGGCTTAATAACTGTGGCATGATTTCACCTGCTGCTTCTAACATTTGCTCATTCTTTTTTCCTGAGCAAATTTGGATTATCAGATGGCAAGCAGCTTTGTTCATGGTAGACAAACTTGAATTCATTTAGGATTCATAACAATAGGTTCAATCTTGGATTCAATGGCAGTTCTTAATGAATGGAGTCTTTGGAAGATAAATGTTTGTTTGTGTTAAAAGAGAAATAATTAATTCTCCATTTTTTCTGGGTATGAGGTGATTATAGTACATATCACAAAATGTTTTCCCTGTATTTCCAGCCCTGGGTATAAGAACTGCAGGAATGTTCCCCAAGCCCCAGCATTGCAGATATGAGCCATTCTGACCTTGTCGTTTCAAAATCTGAAGTTTTGCAATGAATTGCTTGGTGTGAGGAAAAAAAATGTATCTCTTACTCACAGTGCTCTCAGTTCCTCCTGGTGATCTGATGCAGGGCAGCGAGGAGGGAGGAAGGTCCACGTCGCTGCGACCCATCAGCAGCCGTGGGTCAGCACGGGGTTACTTGGATGAAGGAATCAAGGCTGGATCTGGATTTTGGCCCGATCCTCACCATTGTCTTAGACATGGGCATCTTCCAAATTCCTGTGGGAAATCCCACGTTCTTCACGACTGTCCCTGTCCCTCGGGAAGCAGCTGGAGCACACACGAGCGACCGCCGTGCCCGGCCAGGAGAGGCTGTGCTGCCCAGCCCGGTACCCGCTGACCTCAGGAGGAATTAACAGGCTTCAGCAAACGTACCCTGCAGGCAGTTTTACCCTGGAAAAACATCACCCACATTGCTAGAGTTTAGGACAACAAATTAAAGCTTTTAATATGCACTGGCTGCTTTTTTTTTTTTTTTTCCCCCATCCCCACACCACCACCATCCCCCCTCCCAGCCCAGTAACATCCAGTTGCTTAATTCCATTTGAAATCAGCCGGGTTAGGCACCTAAATAATCTTGTCCTTCATGCCTGTCAACATCTTGAGGCACCTAACCACCTTTAGAGATGTGGTGTGAAAGCTTGTGAACGATGCAATCGAGGAGGGAAACAAAAGACAAGTATCCCTATTTGCTGCCCAAGAATCCACAAAGAATGCTGCTTCAGCTCTGCTCTGATTTCTAATTAGATTATGAGTGATGTAGGACTCTGAAGCCAAGCTGGAGTTTGTGCTAGCACTTTGCATGTATGAATGACAAAGGGACACCACTTTCATATTGATTTAAGCAAGCCAGTGGAAGAATGTTTAAACATCAAGTGCTTGATGTCCCAGTTTGCCAGAGCACCTGGAAATATCAAATTAATTCCAGGTGTTCTGCCATTAAGACAGGCTTGCTGCTTTTACAGCCACACATACAAAATGTGGCTTCCAGTTCCACAAATAAAAACGGAATGGTTTCTGCTCCTAATGCCTCGATAACTCCGACATATTGCAAGTTCTGGAAAGAATTTTAATCTACATAGGTTTTTTTTTAATGGGGAGGGGAGCAAGGGGGGAAAGATTTTAAATATGCTGCATACAATTTGTGATGGTCATCTCTAAAATGCAGCTCCATTATCCTTTTCCATTTGGAATGAATGAGGCTAATTAATTTCAGGCCATACTTGATGAGGTCAGCACCATACGAAGGGTGCGTGCTAGACATTGCTAATCTCTTTCAGCTGAGAGTGATGAATTAAAGATGAAGCATTCCTTTGCAGGCCTAATTTAGAATGTATATCAAAAACCTACAGCAAATAATACTATACCCTACAACAAAGGAAAACTTGTTCTCTCAGGCTCCCATGTAGGGTTGATTTTAAAGGCATTTTCATTTCGCTTTGGAATTCCAGCTGTGGATGGGTGAAACAGTTCAGAAAATTCAAGCTTTCTCTCTTTCTATTGCTTTTATGGACAAAAGTAGGCAAGGGGGGGCTAAGGGGAGAGAGAAACTGGTCCGTGTTTGATGCTGTATATCCTGTGATTCTGACTGCACGCTCGGTGTTTGGGAAACCAAGTACCTGTGACGTGACACCCCCCCACGGCCCACACTCACATCTCACTGTTGGGGCTTTTTAAGTCTCAGGGGAAAGCAGCCAAGGGTCCCCTTTGGTTCAGCATCATCCCAAGAATGTTTTGTTGGACGTTGCAGGCGGGAGACAGGACAGGTCCAGCAGTTCTGCTGGGACACCCAACGAGGACAGGAGGTTCCAAGCCCACACAGAGCTGTCACTCTCCTTATGGATAAACACCTCCCTACGCAAAAAGGTCCCATCACGCCTAGAAGTGCAGATAGCAAAAGAGAATGGAACAAATCACTGCAAAAGTAACCAGGTCTGGGAGCAGGACAAATTGCTACACAGCTCCTGAACTGGCTGGAGTTGAGGCTCAGCCAAGCTTTGTCACCTTTCCCTCAAGGCAAAGCCACCCACAAAGTCCATAGGGGTTTTCCCTGAGTGAGGGACTGCAGGATTTGTTCCTGTGGGCAGCAAGAAGCTGAATTGTCATTTTGGTAAAATAGGGACTTATGAAATATTATTTTGGTAAAATAGGGACTTATGAAATCTTAAGCCAGCCTCGGAAGGAGGCTGCAAATAATAGACCACCGTCCTCCCCACCACTTCTCTGTTCAATACCTGGCAGTTCCTTGGAATTCTTGACAGGTTGCTGCAGCGAGTCGAAGTTCCCAACTGGTGGCCATAAGCGGCTGCCGTCTTTGTATCCCAGTAGTCCTCATTAGAACAAAGCTGCTTCGAATTAAATCCAATCTACATGCCGAATCAATCTTTCAGCCCTTTGATTGCTTCTGAAAATATTTATACTTCTTAATAATGCACATTTTGTCCCAAAGCCTGTGATTAAACCCAGACAAGGTCCGGAGAAGCCTGAAGTATATGTGGAAGGGGTTATTTTGGACAGGAAAAGAAAGATAAAGACACAGGTTTTTCCTATTGTGAAATCATTAGAGTGTATAAATCTAGCAATTGCAGTTGTATAAGCATCAGAGTGGGGTTGTAATAAATACAGATTGGAGTATTATAGTAACCAAATGGAGTTTATGGATTATGTTCACTAGTTCATATTTCTCAGCTACTACAACCTAACTAGCTTCATGCTGCACTCACCTCTGTTAATATTACCTATTAATATTCTCTTTACGTGTTTGTGGGGGGAAAAAAAGTTAGGATTCAACTGCTGCTCTGTGTAAAACAAATATGTTTAAAGAATCATGCCCTCCAAAGAAAAAAAATAAACACAGGGATGCTGCAAAGCAACTGTGTTCGAAGGGCACAGGCTGTGGCTGGCTGAAATCAGCCTGTTCTGCTGAAAGTTAATAACTTCCATCTGAGGGGGATCTGGTTCTAATGCAGGGAATTTGCTGTGTGAAAACTGGGGTGTAAAAATGAAGAAAATAACTTCTGCTGTCCCTTACCCTGGTGAATTTTTAGGGTGGTAAATAATAAGCTTTGGCTGGAGATGAGAAACGCACAAAGGCTTTGAAACTGTGCTGTGCGGTAAACAGCGTGTTGTTCCCTTCTCAAAAAGCAACACAGGTGAGACATGAGGAGATGAGGGGAAGGAAACATTCCTTGGCTAAGAAGTAACCCAGATAGGGCCAGATCCTCCAGAGCGGGGATCTGCCATCGATGGAGAAGGTGGTGGTGGCTGGGGACGCAGATCAGATAAAGGCTCTGTACCTGTCTCCCTCCCTAAACACAAATGACTGCCCTTGTCTCTAATAACAGGGAGAAATTTACTTTGGAAAACACATCATGATAAATCTCCTTGGATATAGTATGCAATGTCTGGGTGAGAGGGAAAGAAATCCTAGATACTAAAAATACATAGTACTTATTTAATATCATTGTCATCAGCAGCATCAGATGGTAAATGCAGGTAATATTCTTCAATAGTGGGCTGGTAAATGCTTGTGGTAGTTTTGCTTGTGACAGTTTCTCCTTTCACAAAGGAGAGAAAGAAATATTCTCAGTTCAAATATTATTCATTGACTCTTTCATCACATAGTTCATTATATTAAGTTGTTATTTCCTAAATATGTTGGGGGGTGGTATTATTGTTATACATATATCCTGAGTCATGATGGCTATTTTGCATTAATGTATGATTTGGATGCTCAGTCTTTAGGTAGAGAGAAGGGGTGTGTTTATCATGACAATAAATAAGGGGAGAGCAGAGATTGAAACAACCTCTCCTAAATGGGGATGGATCCAAAACCTAATGACACACATGAAAATCCATTTTGGATCAGAACCCCATCTGAACTATGTGTTATATAACCAGCATTTTCTGAGTATCTTCTATTGTTTGACAACCCTGATTTCACACTGAACTTGGAGTTCATTTCCGAACAGAAGCTTTTTGTATGGAAACTTTTAATCATATCCCTTTGTGAACACACACATGCCATCGAGGATATTGTCTTATTAAGAGTTTAAGCCTAAAGGTGTATGCCTACTTTTAAAAGAAATTTTCTGATTGCAGATAACTGCTCAATTTGATTTAGTGTCCAATGATAGTGATGGGGTTGATAACTGAGCATTCATCGGTAATTCATCTTGTGCTAGTAGAAATTTACAGCAAAGCAGTGCTTTCCCAACACTGACAAGTCCTATTAATCTTCTTCAGACACATTTCAATAGGTGTCTCCATCTGTGCCCAACATCTAAACACTCTGGCATCACTGGGGACTTGGAGACACCTTCATTTCAGGTTACACTAGTGAAAATGTGATACTAGATTGTACTCTATTTTTAACCTAATTCTCTCTTTTCATTCAATTAGCCTTTCTTGCCTGCATTTTTCTACTCATGTGTAACATCCTTTTCCCGGGAATAGCTTAAAAATAAGATTTAGTTACTTAAAGAGACAGAATCTGCCAGGACAAGAGCAACCAAGAGCTCAGTACAGAAAAGCAGAATAACAAAGCTCAGGGACACAGCGTGGACACCGAATTGCCAGTCACCAAACACGTCCCGAGCAGCATTCCCACAATATTCCCCTCCTGATGCACCTCTTGCAGGCACCACTGGGTTAGGACAGGTCTGAAACCAAAACTGAAAACAATTGCAGGATGTTTGGGTGCTGAAATCCCAAAGAGCTCTGTTTGTTCGTGCTGCACGGGGATCCCCAGCATCCATCCCCACTTCGCTTGACATCTACAACTAATGCATGAACAAACACAGAGCAGTCAAATTACAGCAATAACATTTATGGGTGGATTATGTTCCAACTTCCTCACTTATTATTAAAAGCGAGTAAATTGTGAAGCACATGGAAGAGGTAGGGTGCAAATGCAGGCGAATTTCCACTCTGAACCAAATGTTGTTTTTTCACTTTCAAAGCTGCGATGAGTTTGCGAGCAGACGCAGCACAGCTTTAAAGCTTACTCATTCAAAAATGTGTGTTTGGGTTCCTTTTTTTTTTTTTTTTTTTTTTTTCCCTCTCCCCTCCTTACTCCATTTACGTTTGCCTTTCAAAGAGGAGCAGATGCACACCATTTGGGTTTGGGTGGCTCCTACTTGCTCTGAACTTTCTTCTGAAAAGAGCAAACCGTGAGCCGTGCGTCTGCTCCGCGCCTCAGAGGCGGTTTCAAACTTTGTTTCTGGCATTATGAAGTTCTCTCGTGAGTCGTGTTATAGATCTAAATGACCTTATTGTAGGTGGCAAGTTTAAATGTGCCATATTAATAACTTGTTATCCAAGACAAATTAAGTCCTTATGTGTCAAAAGCACTCTGTTCTGGATTACCTACAAGACAAGTATTTATTGAATAAACGTTGGATCCAATTTCATTTTAATGTGACTGACTGTATGCTGCAGCCCCTTAGAACGAGATAAAAACACTCAAACCTACAACTGTGTTGCAACATTACACCTAACTTGTCTATTTCTATTATTGTCTTTTTAACATGGGATCTCAAAAGTGTTTGGGGGAGTTAAAGGATTTATTATTATTATTGTTATTATTTTTTTGTGAAGAGCAAGGAGAGACGTAGAAAAAAAGACTGGCATTCAGCCTAAAGAGAAATCATTGAAACAAATTAATCCTATGCCGTTTAAATTGACATGGTAATCCATCATCAGCAAAGGGAAACTCTGAAAGCAATCTAGAATCTGCAGTGTTCTTTCACTGGCCCTCAGGCACAAAGACAGATAGTAAAAGAGGAAGGGGGGGAAAAAATCATAAAAGTTAGCAGCACCTTAGCATAGGGAAGGGCTAGGGAAAGCAGCTTTCACTTTTTCCTGCTTTCAAGCACCCAGCTCAGAAAGCAGCGCTGATTAACCTTCAGTCACTGCCTGCTGACATTTACTTGTGTGTCAGAGCATCTTCAGCTGCTGGGATAGGAGTTATTTCAAATAGTGCAGAGCCCCCGTCCTGTATAAACTCCACCACTGAAAACTCTGCCAAACATCAACTTGGGCATTTCTGCTTACAGAGGGCCTTTTATTAGCCTAAACTTGATCATTCCAAATGGACAATAAATTCTATCTGCAGAGCCCTGCAGAAAATAGCTGTACTATCCTTGGGAGTTTAATAGCCAGGATTTTCATAGAGCTAGCATGAAAAAACCTGGGGGGGTTTATTTGGATTTGGACTCAGGGTATTTTTTTGTCTATCCCCTGCTTTCTCAGTGGGGCTATCCACCATAATATATGTTTCCCAAGAGATTTTTCAAACTAGTTTTAAATATCTAAAGTGATGAGACTTTGTGCACCTTTAAAATTTTATTAGACTTACGGTCAGAAGAAAACATAAACCTCTTGGGCCTTGAAAGCCCATTGCAACACAGCCATTATCCCTATAATGTCAACAGAGCTACAAAATTCTCCAGAAATAAACCTTTTAAGAACAGCTTTCCCTGCTTCATGTTTTCTTTTAAGGTCAGTGGTGCATCACTTTTTTGGAAAACGTTTCCTCTCTCTGGCCAGGTTTAGCAATGTGAAATAGAATGTATATTACTAAATGAATAGGTTTAATTTTAGACACTGAAAAAATAAATAGAAGAAGAGAGCCAGGGCAGGAATAATACCTTTCAGTTAGAAACAGACATAGTAGAAAGAAAAAGTCAGAACTTTAGTGCCAGGGGCAAAGGGGTGAAAGGCTGGCTAATATGAACCATATCCAACATCTGCCCTATTTTAATTTAGCAGGGATAAAGTTTCTTCTTTTTTATTATTAAGAAAACTTTATGTGGCAGAGAAAGCCATGAGCTATGTTATCAAAACTGTTTTATTGTCACACTGAAACTTAGTACTATTAAGAATTGGCGGGGCAAAGAGATAAAAACTCCCCTTCTCTCTCCTTTTATACTCTGACAAGCCTGGGCTCGGGTCCTGCTGACTGGGATGTCCTTTTCATGTCTTTATGAAGTACTGCACTTGGGGCTGTAATATAAAGGGGAGGTTAATTGTTCAGGATGGGTCCAAATGATTGATTCTCCAGGTTAAAAAAAAAAAACCAACTAAATTAATAAATTAAAAAATCTGAATATTTAAAACAAAATGCTGCCGCAGTGGTCGCCCTCGGAGGTGAGCGATGGTGGTGGTGCACAACAAGTGTAAAGAAGGGCTGGGCTGGGAACCTGTGTGAGAAACAGCCCAAATTGCCAGGCTGGAACATGATCTCATTCCATCTAAAAGTTTTCCACCTCCATAGTGCAAATTCCACCATAAAATAACAAAGTGTACCAAACCACATGTGAGTAGCTGTAGGAGTAAGAGAGCAAATTGGTTTCTGACAAAAGAAGGATGAATACCTTCGGATAATCTAAAGTTAAAATTTGATTGAAAGCATAACATTCCTCTAAGCATCAATATGCTTAGGATCCAAAATATGGTTATTTTATTACCAGTTAATACTTAGATCAAAGCAAAACACTGTAGCTGGAAGGGACATTCTCTCTGGAAATAAAGTTCCATGTAATTATTTCCTATTAAAAACTAAAACTGGTCTTAGATTCAAAAATTTGGGCTTCCTTACATGTGATATAATGCAAGCTTGTCAAGAGAGAGCAGATGTACCATTTTTCACTGTTTGCTGGTATCTCTTTGCTTTAAAGTTTTCGGTTTAGCTTTAACCCTTTGAATGTGAAAGATTCTCATCCAATTTACCTCGATCAGACCAGGGGGAATGTTTTGGATTATATTGATTCATTTCTTATTATAAGAAATTAGGATTTGATATGAGCTAACATCATTTTAAATACAGCTTGCAAATGTAAGGAGGTGAAATCTCCAGAAAATGATACGGCGATGGGTAGGCAGCTGAAAGTTAAATATTAAATTGTAAACAAAGGTTTTATTCTTGGGCAAAACAGCTCATCTTAATTCAGTTCGAGACATGGAGTTTAAAATATGCACTCAAAATACTTCCAAGAAAGCTGCAACCTTTCAGAGGAGAAAGATAAGAATGTATTTTAATTATGAGGTTATAAATATGCGATAGATTTAATTTTTTTTTACCAACTCCTAATGTGCTACGTAACATTGTTCAGATGCAGTTACACATTTATCTGTCTGTCTCTATTCCTGTCCAGGGTTTTGCTTTTATTTTATTCTTTCTCTTTTTTTTTCTTTTCCCTCCTGATAGCTCAATCTCTATTTATGGCATCATTGAGGCAGGCCCTGGGAAAAAAAAAAAGAATCTATCCTTCTGTATTTATAAACCACCACAGAATAAATAGGGAATTGTTCCTTTTTACAACTGAAGGGCTGGTATTATAAGTAGCAATATGAAATATTTAGACACATTATTTCAAGCTTCCCGGCTGCTTCTGATTCTGCTAATTATTTTTGATCTGTCACTCAGAAATAAAAAAAATAAATAAATAAAACTTTAAAGAGTTCATTAGGACTGCAGAAAGGAAGAAGAGTCAGATATAAGGCAGCAATTATAATTTGGTTTTAACATGTTTTTTTCATTTTTTGCTGACTCCTCAGCTACATTGTTTAGTAGAAGGATGGCTACAATATACTTCTACATTAAAGGCTGTTAAATAGGGAAGAAGCTGAGACATTCAGCTGGGATATTGTTTGCCAGCTCAATTAGTATCCCAAGAATTTGAAAGTACAATAAATGTATCTGAAGATCATATCTAAACATACTTACCAAAAAGTACCCACCTCTCTCAGCAGTTCACATATTTCTGCCTTCTAACTGGGAGGGAAAAAAAAAAAAAAGGAGAAAAAAGGCAGTTCGATGTGTAGGTTAAGATTGGCGTGTGGCAAGGTTTGTGTGAGATACAAAGAAATCTGTATTTCACTCAACAATTTCATTGCTTAAACATATAGTTTAGAAGCATCTTTTCCTTAAACATGTGGTTCAATAACATTTTCTTCAAAGGAACAACTCTGTGTGTTAAAAGATTTAAGAACAAAGAATGTGCTGCAAAATGCAAATTCCTCCAGTGTTACACTGTGTATGCAATTATGTATGTAGGCAGATAGATATAATTTGAGAGTTATTAACTTTCAACATCAATTATGTACCCTGAATCAATACAATGTAACTACCTATTAAAATATAAACCAGGTGTGTTCCCAGGCAAATACAGTCTGAGAAGATTTCTAGATTTTTTTTTTTTTTTTTTAATTTAAAGATTACAGCTCTATTATGGACAAGAAACTGAAGTGATTGGTGCTGGTCCTAAATATGGAGATTGCTTTGCTTTTTGCTGATGGTTCTAGAACGTTTCATTTCCTCCACGTTTGGGGGGGAAAAAAAATTTAAAATAATAAACAATAATGAAATAATGCGAAGGGGATGAATTGCCTCACAAACATCCGTGATGCATGAGAAAGAGAAAAGTTCCCTATTGCCATATTTTTTTTGGCTGAAGGGAGGGAAAGAAGGGAGCAGGGATCCTTTTGCAAATCCCTTTCTCCCGGCCGCCCTCCCTCGCTCCCCGAGCGCACAGCCCGGCGCAGTTAACCTTGGAGCGGCGCCGGGGAGGGAAGGGTTAATGAAACCCAGCTCTTTCCGACCTCCAGGGTCAGACTCTTCCTATCTGCAATCTAAGGAATTAGGTAAGGAGGTTATAAGATTATAGTGAAAGGAGTTATAGGCCCTCGTAGCCTCACACCTGAACATATTGGGCTAATCCACTGGGATTCTTAAAAATCGCTTCAGCAATGGAAAACTGTTAATTAGGCTGAGTCTGTCCCCAGGTTTCCTGTTGCATTCGAGATCCAGCCGAGCTGCTGCTCTCCACAGGCTCACATCAAACGCTCCCTGCCTGCCTATACTTTTCTATACTTTTTGTCCCTTCTCCACAACTGAAATCAGCATCAGCCCCTGATTTCGGGTTAGGAAGAAAAAAAAAAAAAATAAATAAAGCAAAGCTGAGGGAAAATTCAGCCCGAGAGACGAACAAAAGTCAACCCCCTCCAGCCCCTGAGCCCTGGGTGCCCGGCAGGCTATTTGCAGCTGTTTCTAACTTCAGTGTTTGTTTACAGTAGCAAAATTAGCACTTGGAGGAGAAGTGAAAAGCTGTTTTCGCATCAGTTTTACTCCTCGGTTTCTAGCTTGAAATGCCTTTCCTCCCTCCCAGCATCATTTAAAGTGCGGTTCAAACTTTCTCTCGCTGCTTTGACTTAGTTCTCTGCAGTCGCATCCTATTTTCTGCTAAAGAAAAATACGCGGAGAGAAGGTAGCGTGTGCACACGGGCCAAACATCACGGATTCGAGGCAAAAAAAAATAAAAATCATAATCTCGAGCATCCCCACAGAACATATTTCAACGTCGCATGGCAGAGCCCTGCCCTACTCCCAGCTCTCTGCCCTTTGGCACTCAGATATTTGCTTGTCTCCAGCAAAGTTTTCTTTAATCCGCCGAGACACCCCAGGGCTGTACCTGAGCCACGGCTAAATTGCTCCCTACGACCGATAAAATCCTGCAGCAGCAACTCCCCAACTTCAATACTTAAAGCAAGGGCTGGTTTTGGCCATTTTGTCATTTGCAGAAATGCTGAATTTTTTTTTTTTTTTAATTTTTTTTTTTTATGCCACTTGTGGTCACCCTCGAATGGCAGTAATCTGCAGATTACATATTACGAGCCTTGTCATTACGTGGATAAAATGAGGTGGTTAAACGCTAAAATCCATTTTACTCACCACATTTGCTTGTGGGGAGGGAGGGGGGCGGGAAGGAGAGGGGAGGACAAAGTTGTAGGATTGCAGGAGTAGGATTGAAAGCCTCGGATGAGAGCTGGATGTGCTGTCAGACCCTCTCTGCCTGCTGGGTACAGGGGCTGGGGATCCCCCGGTCCCTCCAGCCCTCTCCCTCGCTCCTGAGCCTTTTGTCCCCATTTTCGTGGTATCTCAGCTTTGCTCCACAGAGGCGACTTTTCTCTGCCTCTCCTGGATTTGCTCTGTAGCATTTCTAGGCTCCTACTCTCCAGCTCTCCCCCCATTTGCCTCTTTCATCTGTGTCCCTGATCCCTCTCCAGCTGATGTGATTCTTTAGAAATGTGGGTCTTATCCCGTCCCTACCTTTGCCGACTCTGATTAGATATTATTTTTTCATTGGCTCTGCTACAATGGGTTCCTCCCTTTAATCTCTCGGTATATTTTCCCCCTCCCGGTATAACCAAATCCATGAAATTCACAGCCTCTCTCTTTGACACGACTGGTTCGTCTAATCACTCCATATCGATTTCCCTAACTCTTTTCATCCAGCTGAAGACACATTTTAAAACACTCCAAGCCAGAGTGTGCTCTTTGCTTTATACACACTAATAAAATGATTTACCCTTCTCTCTCTGCTCTCCTCACAGGAGAAAATCGTTCAAGTCGCGGCTATTTGTGTGTGATCAGTAAATATTTAGTGTGGCGACATCCTCAGCTCCTCTGCTGATCAATACGCAACCCAACAGGAGGTGGACTATTGTCCGGGTAGAGACTTGCTGAGATCTCCTTTAGATGAATTCTTTGCCCCCAATCCCGTCTGTTATGATTTATCCTCGAAGGTGACCAATAAAGAAAACCTGAATCTTTAAAAACCTCTGTTTCTAACCTGTTTACCGTGCCATTAAAGCACCTAAGCAAGGAATGGCTTATTCACCCCCGTCTCCCACATCCCTGGGATGGGCTGACACACGCAGGGCGCTGCTGGAAAATGGGGATTAAAGCGGGCAGCCCCCGAATTCTGGCTCTGCATCCCCGAATTCTGGCTCTGCATCCCCGAATCCCTCGATTTGCCCGAGCCCTGCAGCACAAGCCCGGCCGCTCTCTGCGCTGTCACGGCTGAAGGGCGATTCCCTCTCGCACCCTGCAGCATCTCCGGCCGCAGGGCTCGGTGCCACAGCTCAGCCTCGGAGGGTGCCAGCGATGTGCCCAGGGATGGAGGGTACCCAGGGATGGAGGGTACCCAGCCACTTCCAGCCCGCCTGCCTCCTCCTCCTCACCGCATCCCGCGGCTCTGCCTGCCCCAGGACCAGGCTGAGGCAGGGCGGATGGGGATTCAGTGGGTTTTTTGTTTGTTTGTCTGGGTTTTTTTGTTTGTTTTTTTTTTTTTGTTTGGAGTGGTTTTTTGCACGACATGGAAAAGCTGCAGTGAAGAAAAATAATAGTAATAATAATGGAAATGGAGAAGAGCTTCAAGCCCGTTTCCTGTGGTTAACCGTAACGAGAGATTTCCCAGAGTGATAAAATGGGCAGCAAGAGAAGTTCGCGTGTGTATGTGTGTGTTTTATATCCTGATCTGCTGTTTCACTCCTAGGAAAGCCAATGCCTCCCCTCGGAATCAGCCCAGGACGGTGCTGTGCCCGCTGAGATGCCCGGGCCAGCGGTGCCCGCTGTGTGGGTGCCTGTGTGATGCAGGCTGGGTGCCCCACGCAGGGATATCTGCACCGAACCTGCCTGCCCACTCGCAGCGTGTCCTGCAGCCCACAGAGGTGCCCAGATATTTCTTTTATTGCCGTGCCTGTGCATCTGCACCTCAGCTCTAGGTGGAAGGTGTTTATCTCTGCAAATGGACATTGCCTGCACAGGCGCTGCAGAAATCCAGGGCTGTGTCTTACAGATGTGCGACTGTTATTCAAATGTAAAACCAGCTACATCCACCTGTTAACTTTGTTTAGAAACCACTTTCACTAATGGCTTTTCTCTAACTTATTCAGCCCGTTACTCGAGTATAGGAGGCAATGGAGGGGAAAAATCCATATGAAACCCTGTTCACAGCCTCTCTTCGAGAGGACACTTTCCACACCTTGCCTAGACAGGGCTCCTATAGAGCGCTTATCTCTCGAATATATCTTTATACTAATGCATACTTAATTGGTCTGTCTTGACTGTCCATATAAAACAATTTAATTAGGGTGCTTTCTGCTTTGGAAAGAAAGAAAAAAAAAATCTGCCCAGCATTTATTGTATTTAGCACCAATACAGGCAGAAAATGTTGCACAAGTTTTTGGTTGAAAGAGCACCTATGTGTCCATTGAAGGGCGTTGATCCGAAAAGACAGAGAGGACAAGTAAAATCGATTTGAAGCAACCCTCTCTGTCCCTTTCACACCATTCAGACACTCCATTCCTTCTAAGACAAAGACCCAGCGCCTTGGGAATGCTGGCAAGGAGGGGGGGAGAGTGGGGGGGAGAGGAGGAAAAAAGGAAAAAAAGAGGGGGGGAGAAAAAAAAAAAAGGAAAAAAGCTTCAATCCCCCCAAGCTAAAGGGAGAGCTCTGAAATTCCTTCATATTGCTGTTATTTACCCCCGAAGATATGTTCAACTCCAGGATTTTCTTCAATTCGGCGTCTAACACTGCTGCTGCGAGGAATGTCCCTGGAAGGGGAGGAGGTAATTATGGCTATTAGTGCTGCGAGCCCAGCCGCAACCTTGGTCACTCGCAGGCTTTTAGGGTTAAAATAGCCCTCACCTCTGACCCCTGCGGAGCAAAGTTGTAGCTATTGCCACAAGTTGGGCCAAAGTTTTCAAATCCAGGGCTGGGCAACACCGGAGGGGGCAAACTTCTCCCTGGAATTATTTTTGGTTGGGATTTAAATCATCTTTAGTCTATTTAATTGCCTTTCCCTCCTCCTTTGGCCAAATAATCCCTTTCGGAGAGGTGGGGGGGATTTCAAAATGCCCTGCTCTCACTACCTTTCCCACTGCTCTTTCCTTTTAGGTTTAATTTGGCAGATTGTTTTCAAGCATGAAAATGGTTATCATCAAACTGAATTACTGGGTCAGCTTTTCATCCAGAGATCTCAAGAATAAAAGAGGGGGCGAGGTGGGGGTCGGGCAGGGGTGTCCCTCCTTTAGGCTTTCCCCGCCATGACCCGTTCATCTTGATTTAAAAAAATATATATATAAATAAATAAAAAGGAGCATTTGGGAAAATGAAGAAAGGACAGCAAGCTTGGGTTTGTCTCCTGTGCTTCCTGCACACCTTCACGATCCTCCTCTGCAAGGGGGGATTTTGGGAGGGGGGGGCAGGGGGCTGCTCAAATTGAGGAGAGGAGGGAGCCCACAGATGCAAGCACCCCTCTGGCAATAATAAAAATTCATTCAAGTGGGCTATGTCTCCATCTTCCATGTACTGATTAGACTTAACAAGAGTGGAAACTTGTGTGTACCATATTTATGGTATTAACAAGCAGTTAAAAGATTTATCCTTCTTCTGATCAATATTGTTCGTGGCCGGTCCTTCCCCCCCACCCCCGGGCCCTCCCCGAAGGCTGCAATGACAATCGCCTTCATACTTTTTCATCACCGATCGAGGTGGCAAAACCCTTTTGTAATTTTCATTAGCCCAGTAAACATGCAATTAACATGCAGCACTGTGGTTAACTTAATTCCTGTTTTAAGGCAAGGACAAGCAAGAAATGGAAGAGCGTTTGTTCCATTTGTCAAGTATGACACACTCCCTACCCTAACAGTTCCTTAAAATAAAAGCTCGGCTCCCCACCACCACGACCACCACCCCTCTTTCCAGAAACCCCCCACACTGATACACACACACACACAAAAAGGAGCAGGAATCCATTAGTTGGAGAGTATTCTCCTGCCAAAGGCGGTATAATGTATTCCGAATTTTCCCAAGCCCTCACTGTACCGGGGTCCCGTTCCCCCCACTCCCCCTCCCATCCCGGGGAAGGGGCTGCCTCGCTGATATTTCTCGTGGCTGAAAGATTCAGCCTTTTTCCTAACCGTATTTTTTTTTTTTTATAATAAAATAAAAACTAAACGTGCTTCCCATGACTAAAAGTTGCCATGTTTGTGAAGGGGGTGGGGAAAAATGTCTCCAAGGGTTTCAATTAGCAACAAATGATTATTGCAACGGATTTTTGGTAATGAAAAAATGTGGAGTACCTCTTTCGAGCTGGGATCTCAGGGGCAGTGAGAGAGAGAGAGAGAGGGGGAGAGGGAGAGAAGGAGAGAGAGAGAAAGAGATTGCTGATTAGCTCGGATTCTTTCCCAACTTGCTTTAGCGTGTGCTTGCGTTCCCTGCCGACCCTACACAGGACACTATATATTTTTTCCCCTTCGGTGCATGTGTTGATAGTCCAGCCTGTAGTTGTTTGCGGTTGGCTTTTTTTTTTTTCCCTTTTCGTTTTTTTTTTTTTTCCTGCCGGGGAGGGGGGAGGTGGGAAAGGGGGGGAGGGGGGGGCTGAAATCCGTCGCATCCATCCTACCCCCAACAGTCATTAACTTAGGAGATTTCCCTCTTTTTTTTTTTTTTTTTTTTTTTTTTTTTTTTTTTTTTTCCCCAATTGGAAGGGTGGGTTGTGAATATTTTTCCCCTCTTTTTTTTTTTTTTTTTTTTTTTTTTTTAAGTCTCGCCTTTCCAGCTCCAAACAAGGTGTAGCGAGACGCTCTTCCTTCTAAGGAATGAAATGAGACAAGGATCACTCAAAGACATCTCCTACCTTGGGCTTGGGGATTTTTTCTTAAAGGCAAGGCGCACATTCCTAAGCAGCTGTGTACAAAGCCCCCCCTGAAATCTTGTCTGTGTAAAGTTAGAGTGTGTTCAGGGTGTTTTTTTTTTTCCTCTCTCTCCCAAGGCTGATCGCTAATAATACATCGAAAGCACTTCCCTTTAGGTTGTGGGAAATCTATTCCCTTCACCTTGCTTCCTTTTTTTCCCCCCCTGAAGGCTGTAACTTTACTTTTTTTTTTCTCTCTCTCTCTTTTTTTTTTTTTTTTAATCAGTTTGCACAATCGCTTAGATAAACACCAAGAAGGAGACTTCTCTTTAATTACCCAACGCACATCTTTCTGGGGGGCAAACAGCGGTCTGATTTTTTTTTTTTATTTGTTTGTTTCACCTGCCAAACTAAAGGAGAGGTAGAAAAAGGAAGATGCAAGCGATTTGGGACCTTGAACAAGGCAAATATGGTTTTGGTATGTTTACTTATAGTTTTTTTTCTTCTTCTTTGACACTTTTTTCGGGCAATGTGTTGTGATTCTTATGTTTCTCTTTTAAGGAAAACAAAAAATCCAAAAAAGCAAATGTTAGCTAACGTGCGTCTTAAAGGATCGTTTCTAAGGTTACGTGGGTTGCTCTAAGGAGGGGAAGAGGGGAGGGGGGCAGACCCAAGTATGTGTAATTGCAGCACCATCAGTTAGCACGTCCTTTAGCTAAATAAAGCAAAGCAGCAAACAAACAAACAAGCCAACAAACCCAAGGAGCGGAGCGGGTTGGCAGGTCCGAGGCGGAGCCGCTCCGAGTCATTTCCCCGGTAGCGGCGGCCGGGAGCTGCCCGGTACCGGGGCTGCTCGGGCGGAGCGGGGAGAGCCGCTCCGGAGGCTGCGAGGGCAGGACGAGGCTCGGAACTTAAGGGATGGGTGTTCAACTGCCCCGCGATCGCGTCTCTGTGTGCAGCGTTTGTTTTGGGGGGGAGGAGGAAAAAAAAATTTAAAAAAATAATTAAAAAAAAAAAGAAGGGTCGGTGGTGAAGGTAGAGAACCGAGATCCCCTCTCCCCCTCCGGTCCCTTCCCTGGCTAAGCAAGTACAATGGAAAGAAGCTGGAATATACTCACCATCCGAAGGTGTGGTTGGCAGTTCGGCTGAGGCTTTAAGGCAATAATTTATCCTTTTTTTTTTTTTTTTTAAGTATTATTGCAAAAGACGTGGATCTGATTTAGGCAGCAGAAGTGTTTTGCTCTGACAACAGCAAGCGAGGCTCGGATCCTCGTTAAAAAAAAAAAAATCACAAAACAGGATCTCTTCCCCCCCCCCCCCCCCCCCAATCCCTTACCACTATCCCTTAAAAATACCTATTCGGCACAGCTCTCGCAGAAACCCTGATGCAGAAATCTTATAGTCCGGTCTAGGAGTGCCCAAGCCAATTAATTTTAAATCCTTAGGAATTAATCAGATTAAAATGTACAGAAGTTTCATTCTCGTATGCATACGTGAGCCAAAAGTCGTTTCCCTTTAAGAGATCCTTTTCTTTTAAAGTTGAATTTTAGGCAGATAAGAGACTTACACTAGGGGGCAGCCAGATACTGTACTTGCTCCAATCTTAAGCAATTTTTTTTCCTCTCTCACAGCATATGCTCTGATTTAGCACTGTAAATTTTTCAGAGGACCCAACTCTGACAGCCCCTGGTGATTTTCAAAGTACCACAAGCCAGTGGTTAAAAATTGCATTGACTTGGAAGTTCAGAGGCACACAATAGGAGCCACTTTCCCTATTCATGGAACTTCAGTGTGGTGGAAGAGAAAAACACACACATACTACATTGAGGGAGAAGAGGAATTCATTGAATTCTGTTAGACGTAACTGCTTTCCACTGAGTTCAGAGCGAAACTCGGTATTTGTTCGATGCTGTATTCATATTGCGATTTAATCTAGAAAGAATTAGAGGACTGTTAGGCAGCTTTCTGCCAGGAAAGCAGCTTCCCCCTCCTTCCTCCTCTCTTTTTGAAACCTAAAGATTTACACCGGCTCTATCCCCAACTCAATTTTAGCAAAATAAATCCTTCCACTCCCTCTCATTAAAATAAATTTACATCTGCAGTAAAATGGCAGGAGGGATGCGTTTGTTTATTTGGAAAACCAACACGGTCTCACTTTTAAACCAGAGCATTTCTATTGTCATTAGCCTCGGAGAAGGACGGTGGAGAATCTCCCGCTTCCTTGCGAAGCGCTCAGGTTTCGAGGATTATTTAGCGAAATTAGCTGCAGTTCATTTTTACATTCATCTCTTCTGTCTCAACCCACTCGCAGGGGTGTTTTCAAATAAATAGCAAAGCATCTAATGGTGCTAATAGATAGTTATATCGCTGCATCCCTCGAAGAGCAAATAGTTAATCTGGGGCATTCTTCATTAATGCTTGAGCAATCAGCTTATACGGCGGCTTTTAAGCGTATATCAATGGTTTTTCATTTTTACGATCATACGTTCAAACTATTAATATTGTGCGCCCTGTTAAAACCGCTTTCCCTTCTGATTTCTGCATTTGTTAGGACGGCGCTTATGTTTTTTCATATGGCGAATTAATCCTGTTTACTTTGTCAGATTCGAGACAGGAAAGGTTGGTGTTGTGGTTTGGGTTTTGTCTTTTATTTTTTTTTCCTCAGGAAATCCAACATCAGCAACAATCTGTGGCTATTCTGCATTTTGAACCCCCACCTTCTGCTACCCTCCCCGAAAGGTCACCTCCTCAGCTCTGGGTTGTTTGGAAATCATAAGGCAGTTCCCCACATTTTAACCAGGAAAGATTCCTTCCCCATTTTCTGTCTTCCCAGTCCCTCCTGGTCACTGTTTCGGGTAAAGGTTATTTTTTTTTGCTCCGTGAGGATCAATGGGAACGCTGCAGCCTTGTCTTTGAAATTGAGTCGCAAAACCCTCTTGGCCCCTGGGGTCTGAGCACGCCAGGTTTCCAGGCAGGACACTCTCAAGTCGAGGTGCTTTTTACAACTTTCCAACCATCTCCGCACCTGCGGCTTTAGCCACACGTATTATTTCTGCGGCAGGAGTGTGTGGGCATGTGGCAACATGAAAAAGTGTGTGAGGAGGTGAGGGGCAATTAATCCCTCCCAGAGCTGTGCCCAGGTCTGTGTCCCCGCGGCCGTGCTCGGTGACCGGCTGGGATGTGAGCGCTCCCGGCCGCGTGTGTTCGCAGAGGAGGAAAGGTCCGGCCGGGCATTTATCTGCTTATGTTAACACGTTTTCTATTTTATCTCTCCGTCCCTTCGCTTGTTCGAGTGTCTTTTGGCCATTTTCACCGGGAGACGGACTCGAGTCCCCGCTCCGCTGGCCGGTAGCTCCATTCAGCGGGAAATAAACACGCTCCCGTGCTTAGCTCTGTTACCTGCCCGTGGTACAGAACGGAGGTCGTGTTACAGTGTCGGGGTACGTGTGGTCATGAAACCGCGGAACCCGCAAAACCCCGAAATAAAGTTAAAGGGGTGGAGGTGAGGCACGCCGCGGCGATGCCGTGCGGGAGGCACGGCTGTCACGCTCAGCGGAGCTCCGTGCCGGGATCGGCGGCGCCGGCAGCGGAGCGCGGTCCCCTCGCCGGGGTGCGGCGGGAGCCGGGAGCGCTCGGGCGGAGCGGCGGGGCCGGGCTGTGCGAGCGGCCGGTCCCGGAGCGCGGGGCGCGCTCGGCTCGGCTCGGCGCAGCGCAGCCCGGCTCGGCGTAGCCTGGCCCGGCTCGGCGCAGCCCGGCCCGGCTCGGAGCGGCTCCGCGGGTGGCGGGACACAGGGCGGCGCGGCCAGCGCAGGTGCCCGGAGCAGCTCCGCCGTGAGACCCTCCCGCACTGAGCTCCCCGACCGCTTTCGGGCAACCCGCGGCCGCCCCTTCCCCGCGGCGCCGCCGCCGCCGCCGGGGCTCGGCTTTACTTTTATTCCGTGGAGTTTTACCTCGCTTTAGCGCCTGCTTTTCCGCTTTGCACCCGCCGCCCCCCTCCGACCCCCCGAGGCCGCGCCCCGGCGGGCAGCCGCAGGTGAGGCGGCGGCGGCGGCGCCGCGCTCCGGGCTCGCCCTCACCCCTGGCCCCGGCGGGGCGGGAGGGCGGCGGGCGGCGCTAGGACCGCGCTGGCGGCGGCGGCGGCCATGGCGGGCGCGCAAGGGCGGCGCGGCCCAATGAGGGCCGGGGGGCGGGGCGCGCGCGCCCGGCCAGTCAGGCGCCGGCCCGGTTGCCTTATAAGGCGCGCGGTCGCCATGGCGACGCGCGCTGAGTTGCAGCAGCCGTGTCAAAGTTCACTCTCCCGCCAGCGGGGCGAGCGGCCGGCGGGGAGCGCGCTCGCCGCTCCTCGGCCCACACGCCGCCCGCACCGCCCGCCCGCCCCGCCCCGCGCCGCCCCTCCCCGCCGCCGCCAGGGGAGGGGAGCGGGGGGGGAGCCCCTGCTTCTTTTTATTTTGGGGCGGGGGGGGTGGGGGGGAGCGCTGGCGCGCTCTCCCCGTGGTGATTTTTTTTTTTTTTTCCCCTCCTCCCTCCCTCCCTCCCTCCCTCCCCGGCTGAGGAGCGATGCTGCGCGCTGGGTTATGATCCTTCCCTCTCTCTCTCTCTCTCTCTCTCTCCCTCTCCCTCCTCCTCCTCCTCCTCCTCCTCCTCTCCTCCTCCTCCTCCTCCTCCCGCTCCCCTCTTTTATCATCCTGGCTGGCTGGGCGCTGCTGCGCTGGCGAGTTGACTCCTTCCCTCCCCCCCGCCCCGCGGCCCCCCTCCCCCTGCCCGCGCCGTGAGCACCGGCGGCGCGGAGGCGAGAGCCCACTTGCGAGGCGGCAGAAGCAGCATAAGGCAGCGCGGCGGCGGCGGCGGCAGCGGCGGCGGGAGCGGCGGCGGCGGGAGCGGCGGCAGCGGCACCCGAGCGGCGGCGGGAGCGGGAGCGGCGGCGGGGACGCGGCGCGGCGGGAGCGGCGAACCGGCGGAACGGGGCAGAGCGGAGCAGAGCGGCGGCGCCGGAGAGGAGGAGGAGAGGAGGAGGAGGAACAAATAAACAATCATAATAATAATTCATAATAATCGTAATCGTAACGATAATAAGAATTTTTTTATAAAACAAAAAAAAAAAAAAAAGAGCGAGGAGGAGGAGGAAAAAAAAAAAAAAGCCAACAGCCCCCCCACACCCCCGAGCCCAAAAGAGGGAGCGAGAGAGAGCAAGAGCGCAGCGGCCGGGCGGAGCGGCGGAGAGGAAGAATTAAAGCGAGCGAAGGAGGGAGGAGAGACAGAACAGAGAGAGAGGAGGAAAGAGGAGGAGGAGGAAAAAAAAAAGCCCACAAAAACAAAGCGATCGCAGTTGATGTTGCTGCTGCAAGCTGGACTTCCAAAAACTACGGCGAGACCGACCGCTCTCCGCGCCGAGAAGAGTCTCCTCCGCTGTGCGTGTTTTTTTCCTCTGTGTGTGTAATCTTTAACCTTTTATTCATTCTTATTTTGATGGCTTTCCTGAATGGCTGACTGCGAGCTTCCCTGGACCTGGCCCCCAGACACCCGCCTCTCCTCCTTCAACTACTCTGCTGCAGATCAGCTCTAAGAGAGAGAGAGGGAGATCTTTGAAGAGATTTTTTTTTTTTTTCTCCTCTCTCTCTCTCTCTCTCTCCCCCTCTCTCCCCCACCCCCACCACCCCTTTACTTTGCTCTCCTGGAGCCCAGACAATCGACTCGCACCTCGCCCCCCCGCACACACACCTCCATCGCCCCGTGCTTCTGCACCTTTGCCGGTACCGGGAGATCCCCCCCACCCCGACCCTCCTGAAAAAAAAAAAAAAAAAAAGAAAAGGAAAAAAAAAGGCAAAACAACAAAAGAGAGAGAGGGAAAGAGAGAGAGAGAGAGGGGAGGACAAAAAATAAAAAGACTGCTGCAAAGCTGATCTGAAAAGCAAAGCAAACAAACTTTGAAAATAAAGGGGGAACAGGAAGTTTGGCAACGGTGTCCAATAGATATGGCAATGGTAGTCGGTGCGTGGCGAGACCCCCAGGACGATGTGCCCGGAGCTCAGGGAACGCAGCCTTCGCAAGCCCCGCCGGTGCAGGGACCCCCGGCCGGGGCCCCGCACACCCCACAGACCCCGGGGCCCGGGGGCCCTCCCAGTACGCCAGCCCAGACCAACCCGCCGAGCCAGCAGAACCAAGGAGACAAGCAGCAGCAGCAGCAGCACATTGAATGTGTGGTTTGTGGGGACAAGTCTAGTGGCAAACATTATGGCCAGTTTACCTGCGAGGGTTGCAAGAGTTTCTTCAAGCGGAGTGTAAGGAGGAATCTCAGCTACACTTGTCGTGCCAACAGGAACTGTCCCATTGACCAGCACCACCGCAATCAGTGTCAGTACTGCCGCCTCAAAAAATGCCTCAAAGTTGGCATGAGACGGGAAGGTATTGGGATTTCATTTGTTTTGCAAAATTTTTTTTCGCTCGCTGCGTTTTGGGGTTTGTTTGGTTTTCCTTTTTTTATTATTTTTTTAATAATATATATAATTACTCTTAGTATTTTTAACCTTCCTCTCCAAACCCCAAACCCAACCAGAACCTTTCCTCCCCCCTACCCACCCCCCTCGAATAAACCAGCCAGAAACTTTCTCGTAATGAAAGAAAGCGGTGTTGGGGAGGGTGGGCAGGGAGGCAGGGGCTCTCGCATGCTTTCTCCTGCACTCGTAATTGATTTGTGTTTGTTTTGATTTTGCTGATGGAGGTTTATTGAAAGTGGATTTTTAGTTTCACGCTGCTTAGGAGCGAGATGATGATTCTGACGTGTGGTTACTTTTCCTTCGTGTTTCCTCCTGCATGCTCAGCCTTAGCCCCCGTGCCCCGAGCAGCCCTGTGTGTGTGTGTGTGTGTCTGTGCGTGTGTGTACACACACACACACGGAGCCTCCCGAGATGCACACACACATACACACACACAAACACACATATATATATCCTCCAGCACCCTGCCTTAGATTGCAATTTTACACAGGCGGTTCAAATTACTATTACAATGGGACTCACCCTACCGAGGCTCTACAGCACTCCACTGTGGATTCCCAGCCGGATTTTTCCTCCTTTAAAATTATAAATACATACACACACACATCTCCACGCGTGTGTGTGTGTGTATATATACACACTGCCGTGTGCCTGCCTTTCCTGGTTGTTATTACCTCACTTTTCTCTTCTTCCTCTTATTTTCTTGTTCCTCCGGGAGAGGCAGGAGGGGGTAGAAGGGATGGGGTGGGGGGTGTAAGGAGCAGTCCAGAAGTAAGTGTGGGGTGCTCGGATCTCTGCAAGTGGAGTCTTTGTGATATAAAATTAGACGGGAAATGTGAGCCTGCAGTTTTCCAGTGCGTGCTCTGTGTCTGGACGCTGCTATGTAGGTTAAGGGTGAGGGGGCTTGGGACTCGCCGGGCTCCTCTCTTTGTGTTTCTGCAAGAGTAACTAACCTTGGAATACAGGCAGTAACAAATATAAATCAAGCACATTTTTAGACGTTCTCCCTTCTTGTCGTCTCTCTGCCTCTGAGCCCTTTTTCTCTCTCCTTTTTCTCTCGCTGTCACCGTGTAAATTTATTAACAAAATGAAAGGCCCACTTTCCATGGGCAGCGGGGGAAGGTGCCTTTGGATAATGCTCTCAGCCTCACCAGGGGACCTGCCGGGGATGTTGTGGGGTGATTTCGCCTCCTTTGGTATTTTTTACGAGAGGGGGGGATGTATAATACCAGCAGCAACGATGTATTCAGTGGGCGAGAAACGCGTGTGGGACCAGAGCCGGGGATTTCGAACTGAAGTGTTTCTTCCTTCTCCCCTCCTCCCTCCCCATCCCGCTCCCCCAGCCTCAAATCAATGAGCTGGTTTAGGTGTAATGGAGAAAAAACACACAAAGACGTGTCCTGCATCTCTTGAAGGAGGGGGTGGCGGTGGAGGGGAGGGGGGATAACTGGACTGTGGTGTGTTTTGGGAAGTGAGGAGCTGGGCTCCCACAGCAGCCCTGGCCGAGCCCACAGCGTCCCTCAGCTTTTGTTGTTGCTTGACTTGACCCCAGAAGTGCGGAGCCTTAGAGCGGGCCCGGGGCTGAACTCTGCCTGGGAAAATGCATGTTCCCCCCGAAGCTGGCCGGGCGCGGGGTCACACAGGCACGCACAGGCACACAAAGCAGGCTGTATTTGAACCGATGGTCGCAATTCAGATATTAATAGCTGTAGTTTCTTCTTTATTTACTGCAGCGGTCCAGAGGGGCAGAATGCCACCCACACAGCCAACTCATGGTCAGTTCGCCTTGACAAATGGGGACCCTCTCAACTGCCATTCCTACCTATCCGGATATATCTCCCTTCTTCTGAGAGCAGAGCCCTACCCCACCTCCCGCTTTGGCAGTCAGTGCATGCAACCCAACAACATCATGGGCATCGAGAACATTTGTGAACTGGCAGCTAGGATGCTCTTCAGCGCGGTGGAGTGGGCCAGGAATATCCCCTTCTTCCCAGACCTCCAGATCACAGACCAGGTGGCCCTCCTGAGGCTGACCTGGAGCGAGTTATTTGTCCTCAACGCTGCCCAGTGCTCCATGCCCCTCCACGTAGCTCCGCTCCTGGCAGCTGCTGGCCTCCACGCTTCGCCAATGTCTGCTGACCGAGTGGTCGCCTTTATGGACCACATACGAA